CACTTCCACTGTGCTATTGCCCTTTCCCCCAGTGGGCTATGACCCTTCCCCAATCAATTGTCATCTGCAGTGAGAGCTTTCCAGCTTTTGTTGAGCGCGTGCAGCTGCCTGTAATGGTCTGCATCTATTTTTACCAGAGAGTTGATCTTCACTGCTCTGAAAAGTACAAGGCAGCCTTTTCATTAATGGACCTTCAATCCTGCCTCAAAAGACCAAGAAGAAAGAACAATCCATTTTGTTATTAATTAAGCGGCCTTTGGGTCCGCCATTTCATTCAATAACATTTAGTACGTATATGTGAATCCCATGTCAAGTGTCTTTTATTGGCAGTGCTGAGGCTCCATCTGGCTAAGCCTCCCTCCCTCCCCAATTTCACAACTAAGGTAATAAAACAAGGATTTCTCTGGAGGTTTGGAACTGCCTTTCCAATGACCCTCCAATAAAGCAATCAGAAATGCATAAATAATCACTGCTTAAGCAGCATTCAGCCTTAATTAAGATAAATTACAAGGTGTGGCAGCAAACATCTTGTGATAAAACCCACAATGGCTCTCATATATCAAGAGTGCCACTTCCATAAATATGGAGAACATATCAATTTTGAGCTTAATTTAATAGGTTTATTTTGGAGGAGAGAAATCCTCTGTCCAAAGCAAAGTCTCTTCTTAAAGGACTTTTGTCACTTAAGCTTTAATGCTATAGATTACAGCTCTGGAAAAAGCGGCCCAGTGGATCAATCAGAGTATAGACTTAGGGCACCTGAACACAGACTTAGGGTATTTCCATTTGCCTGTTGCTGCCAACCCAGGATGTTTTGCTGCCTGAAGCAGACCCCAGATGGCACCTCCCCAACACTTACCAGGACCAACCCTTAAAAATAATAATTGAAGGACATCCAGGTACCAGTTCCTGTTTTCATCTATTCATGGTGCAGCCTGAAGCACATCTCTTTACTGCATGGCAGGCAGGGCCAGCCCATCCATGAGGCAAGGTGAGATGATCATCTCAGGCAGCAGAGCCACAGTGGTGGCAGATCTGGCCTCCAAGGAATACATCGTCCACCACTGCTGCCGCAGTGGCAGTGGTATCTGCAGCACACTCCTTGAGGCCGGGTCTGCCTCCTCCTCAGAAGCCCCTTCACAATGGCCTCTCGGTGAATGGGAGATGCTGCTGCTCTCCACCCACCCCTAGGGAGGAAATGGCAGGGGTCTCCCTCTTAGTCTCCTGGTGTCAGGGCTGCACTGAGGAGGAATGGTGGGAACCTCCCCCTGCTCCTAGTCAGGATCCCGAATCTTCCCGGGAGCAGGAGGACAGTATAGATTTGGAACAGTGGTTTGCAGAGGGGCATAATTCAGAAGGCAGAAGCTGGGAAGAACTGGGTGGGGAACAGCTAGGAGGAGAAGAACTGGAGGAGAGAGAGTTAACAGACTCACTGTCACTGGGAAGCATTCATCCGCTCTGCCAAAGGTCAAGAAGAGCAGATAAGGTGGCAGCCATTTTGAGGGTGGCAGTGAAAGAGGTACATGGGGGAAAGAGAGAGAGAGAAAGCCTCATTGCACAGATAGAAGCCCTTGCGAACGGCTTCCGCTGATGTGGTTCACTAGGTAAATCCCATCCCATTTATGTCTTCCCTTCCAAGGTAAATGGCAATTAAGAGTTGGGGACTTGATGGAGAAAACAGATGACTAGGGAGGAAGTGGGTGGAACCCTTACTTGGGAGCACCTTCATTCCTAGGAATGGATTCTTTTCTCTCTCACTGTGATCATTAAAAATTCTAACTGGTAAGAGACTCCTTTCTCTTTGCTCTGCTTATCTACTGCCGGGGGGTGGGGAGGAAGCCAAGTCCCTGAAGCCTGCCATCTGGGCTCTGCACTTGCCCAGTGTGATTCAGAGTGCCCTCCCCAATTAACTTTGATTCCCAGTTCAACCATCGGGTAAGGTTGATTTGACCACCACCACAGTTCCCAATGTAGATCTTTATTCCCCCTTTGTCCCCGATGTTGATCTTCACTCCCCCCTTCTTCCCTGGTGTGTGTGTGGGGAACACACACACACACACACACACACACACCATTTTATGGTTTGCCTCAGGTGCCAAAATGTATTGGGTCGACTCAGATGGCAGGGCTGTCCTGGCAGTTGTGAGTAGTAGGCCTGATCTGAATCAGGACCATAATGGTGTGGGCGGGAGTTTTGACTACTGCCCCCACCAGTGCTGTGTCATTTCCCAAGAAAAATCAACGCCCCCCCCTCCAGCTGCTTTTGCCTGGGAGGAAAACAACACAAATGACAACACCACTGGAGGAATTCAGGATTGTGCTATGTTGAATGTGCAAGCATATCAGCTTTCCAAAGGGAATGGTTCCCCTTCCTTCCCTGCTGTTATAGGAGTTCTCCTGACCCCCTGCAGCCATTTTTTTGGGGGGGGGGTGAAAGGGGTACATGGGGGAAGGAGAGAGAGAGAGAAAGCCTTGCGAACGGCTTCCACTGCTGTGGTTCGCTAGGTAAATTCCATCCCATTTATGTCTTTCCTTCCAAGGTAAATAGCAATTAAGAGTTGGGGATGTGTGTGGACTTGATGGGGGAAAAGAGAGGGAGGAAATGTGAAATCTTCCTTCTAGCTGTGCCATGGTCCCAGACTGGATCCAGATCCCCTCTAGCTGATATATACAAATATTTAGAAGTCTAAAAAGACAGAAATGGAGTCACATATTTCTCGTCTGATGTAGTTTGGCCCTCAGACTACAATGCTAAGCATGCTTATGGAAGGATGAGCAGATCTGGTATTCCAAGTAAGCAAATAGGCTTAGATCTGGTTTGGGATATTTAGGTGATTGCTTTAGTTGCCACCTATTCTCTTCTTCATGGCTTCCTTCTGCTGCTTCACTTAATAAACACACATTATTATTATTTTAGAGAAAGAAATCTGGAGTGAGCCAAGTGTTGCAAACCTACCTGAAGTATTGATATCAGAGTGAAAGTGAAATGTGAAACAGACAGTGGAGAGAAAAAACACACACAACCTCCTCCAAGTCCCATCTCACACATCCTCTTGGTGACTGTTTAAATGTGACACCTTCATGTTTAGCCGAACACTTCGGAGATAAAAATACTTCATTGGGTTCCTTTTAGCTGTGCTGAACAACACAGCTTTGAAAAAAAGAAGAGAGTGAGAGAGAAAGAAGAATTTCAGCTCATTGTTTAGTAACACCCAAATGAGGTTTGACTTTGCCCCCAAACGGCAATGAAGACTAGCAAGGACTGGTGTTTTTGTCAGTGTCGCACTTTGCTGAGATCCATAGCATCTTCTCGACAGGCGCAAGAAGGCAGTGGCTCTAAGCACAGGATGCAGCAACAATTGCTGAGGCAAAGCAGGTGTGGGTCTGGTCAGGGCCTGGATGATGCTGGACCTTCTGGATACCCCATGTATATCACCCAGAATTCTATCATGGAAGAAAAGTGGGGTATAAATGTTTAAAAGTTGAGGTGTTTGAAGTAATTCAGAGGAGAACTATGGACAGTGTAAGAGTTTAGGTTTTGAGAACTGGTGTGGTGTTGTAGTTAGAGTGTTGGGACCAGCACCTGGGAGACCAGGGTTCATATCCATGCTCAGCCATGAAGCTCACTGGATAACCTTGAGCCACTCACTGCCTCTCAGCCTATCCTATCTCTCAGGGTTGTTATGGGGATTCAATGAGGAGGGGTAGAACCATGTATGCTGCCTTGAGCTCTCTGGAGTAAAAAAAAGGTAGGATATAAGTGCAATAAAATAAATAACAAACTGGGTGCTATCAAAAGAAGCTGGACGCTCAAAGACTCAGAACAGGCAAAAGAAAGTACTTCATCAAGCAGCACTTAGATAAACTATGGAACTGGAGTGACAAATTCATGAAGGATACGGCTATCAGTAGCTACTGGATGCAATGAATACGTCCTTCCTCCATTATTGAAGGCCATATACTCTGAATATCAGGGGATCACAAGAGGGGAGAATGTGGTTGGATGGTAATTCTGCTTGTGGGATTCCCAGAGGCACCTGGTTGTGAGAACAGGAACTTGGACTAGATGGGCATTTGGCCCGATTCAGCAGGACTCTTCTTGTATATATACCAAGCTGAAGGCTCGGTCTGGTGTTGATGTCAGATGAGCATTGCCAACTCAGGGGACAACCAGAGATGCTCCTACAGATGATCTCAGTGACTCAGCTGAGATATAAGGGTTCAGGAGGTCCCTAAGGTATCTTTTACCTGAGTTGCTGAGGGCAAGGACCTTAGACCTGGCTCAGTCATAGCTGGGAAGTTAATGCAGATGCTGAAACAATTGTGTCACACATTTGTGGCTATCTGCTGCCATCAGTCGTCTAGCTCAGCCATGAAGCTCACAGATGCCCAAGGGATGCCCATGAGCAGGACCTGAGCACAAAATCACTCTTCCCACCAGCCGCTCCCAACATGGTGTATTCAAAAGCACACAGGCTACATAGCCACTGTGGCTAGTAGCTGCTGATAGATTTATCCTCCATGAAATACTAAGCCGCATGGAGATAGATAGATAGATAGATATAGATATAGATGGCTAGAAATAAATGTCACGTCAGGGATATGGGAGTTGCACTGCACACCAGTCCCCTCACTGAGAAAAGGGGGTTGAGATAGATGTCTCCAACCTTTCTTAATGATCTCGTTGGAATTCCTACTCCGGGGCTGTGATTTGGCCCGGGGGTGGGGGGTGGCAGGGAAACAGGCTGACTGGAGAGGCTTCAGCCTTCGTTGTTTTGCGACCCGGGCCCTACTCAAAAGAAGAACGAAGTCTTCCATTTCCTGGCTGGATTTCCTCCCTCCAGCCCAAAGGCTTTTGCGATTGCTTTTGCAGGTTACCAAAAATAAGAGAGAGAGAGCTTAGCAGCAGCAGCGCGCCAGCCCGCAGCTTGTTTCTCTTGTTGCGCGCAGCCCGATTCGAATTCGCCTGTGCCTGCGCCATCATCGGGTGGGTGTGGCGCAGCGTGGCGCGTAAACTCCCGAGCGCAGCGGAGGCTGGAGAGGAGCGAACAGTCTGGGATTCAGGGAGTCAGGTGGAGGAGAAGGAGGAGGAGGTCGCTGTTCTTGGTACCGCTGCCGCCGCCGGCTGGGACCAGAGAGCAGCCGCAGCTTGCGGGGTTGAGTGAGCGAGTGCGTTTTTGCGCCCCTCTCCGACCTGCAAGCATGGCTTCGTCGCAAGGCAAGCTGGAGCTGAAATTCGCGGACTGGATGGCAAGTTTGCCCGAGAGCATCCACAGCGTGCCCCTGACGAATCTGGCGATCCCAGGTAGGCGACTCGAGGGTTGGGATTTGGGGAGGACTGGTTGGTTTTGCTTCAAAAGTCCTTTATAAAATGTGGATGAGCTCTTGGGCTGCAGCCAGACATGGGAAAGGTGACATTGCCAGAGAATCTCTTCGCTTCGCCTGCAGGGAGATAATGGCTTTTCTTCTGGGGAATGGCTGGCGTGTGTGATGAAAGGCTGGGAGAAACTGGCTTGTATGTGAGCCCCTCGGCGTTTCATGTGTGTGTGCGTATTGCGTGCGCATCTGTGCACATGCTTTCCAGAAGGGTAGCTGGTAGCAGTCGCGTTGCACCAAGCAAACAACAAAGACTCTCGTGGCTCCTTGAAGGCGATCGCATTTGCAACGCCATCTCGTACATTGTTTACTCAGGAGTAAGTTCCATTGTGGCCAACGGGACTTACTCCCTAGTAAGTGTGGTTAGGGGTTGCAGCCTTGCTGAGGCATACTCTTTCACAGGCTGGAGACCGTATATAATATATATGGCATATGGGAAGAAAGTGGATTTGAATCCCAGAAAGCTTATGCCGCAATAAAATTGGCTTTTGCTTAGGGTGCCACAGGCATATAAAGTGTTACTGCAACAAGGAATTCGCCCTCTGGAAATGTGTGTGTAATACTAAAAATCCTCACCTTCTCCACTTGCCTCTGTGGCCAGAAGATCTGTGTTTGACTTGCATTGGAAGGCTTATGGCTTTAGATAATTCCCCCACTGCCTGGCATCCAGGTTCTTAATATTCTCCTCAAGTCTCTAAAAATGAATCTCTAGTTCCAAGAAAAGCAGGGACAAAAGTTCAGACTAATGAAACCATTTCGTTCTATTCTCTCCCTCTTCCATTCCACCTTCTGTTAGAAGCTCAATGGCACCTTGATGTGTGTCCCATAGATCATGTGTTTCCATGATCTAATACATGTGGCAGATCTATCTGGCTTGGTTCACACATGCATGCCCTTCTCTTCATTCTCTGCCTCTGACTGCTGCATCTTGATGAGTGACAAGCAAGGGTCAGTTTAGATATTTGGCACCACCAACCTCTTGCTGTTAAAATCGGGCACACATGCTTGTTACTACATTTTATTTTTTATTTGACTTTCCCCCAAGGAGCTCAAGGTTCTACCTCCCCCTGTTTTGTCCTCACAAACAACCCTGTGAGGTAGATTAGGCTGAGACACAACAGCTGGCCCAAATTCAGCCAGTGAGGTTCATGGCTGAGTGGGAGTTTGAATTTGGGTCTTCCCAGTTCCTTGTCCTAAACCTTACTGGCATGCATGACTGACCCCATCCCACCACTCTCTGTTTGCATAGTTGAGGTAGTTCTCATCTGCAAATCCACAGAATGGCCACATCATGTCTAGTGGTCCCAAGCTTGTGAGCTGCCTAAACAGCAAAGCATTGCACCTTTCAGGTGATGTGAGATGAAACCAATGTTTAGCCTGGGTGGTTTTTGCATCGTTGACGTTGCATGCATGCAGCAATATGTTTCCTGGCGTTGCAGAGAAAGGGTGATGGGTGTTCATGCATGAGCTGACCCTTGTAGGTAGGAGTGTGTGCATACATGTGTGAGCAACCATCAGAGAGCCATGGAGAATGGACAGTTCAAGACCAAGAGCTAAGATCCAGGGGTCAAGATGTTTGCATGCAGCAGGTATAGGGAAGTCTGTTGGGGTTGATGTGCCTCACTCTGCATTGCTGATAGCCTTGCTCTATAATGGGCTGGGTGGCCCTAGTCCTAACGGATGTTGGATTCTCAGCTCTCATCAGCCCCAGCCAGAATGGCCAATGGGCAGCGATGATGGGAGATGGAGTCCAGCAACATCTGGCCACAGGTTCCCCATCCCTGCTTTGTAAAGTGGGAAACTCATCTATCATTTGAAATCTACCCAAGAACCGTTGACACACTGCAACTTTTCAAAATGATCTGCCTTATTCCTCTGTTGCAGAGTCAATAGTTTGTAATGGATGGCAGAATTGGGGTTGTAATAGGGAGAACTGAAGGGTCAAAGCCTATCTCAGCCATGCATCTCATCTGGGGCGGAGGGTGTATATTGAGAAAGTTGTCTCAGCCTTGAGTTTGCCTCTCAGCATTGTGAGGATAAATTGTGTAAGTCTTTGATGTCCTTGGAGGAAACAACCACTGCCACTACTGTAGAACACATGACAGATTTCTCCCACCTCCCAAAAAAATCCAGTTTAGAAAAAGTACCTCTCTCTGGAAAAGCAGAATAAATTTATTTATTGGGATTAATAATAAGCTTTTTAAAATAATAATAACAGCAACAGCCCTCCTTGTCATTTACTATATTGGTGCTGTTTTCCTACACAAGACTTACATTGCCTTTCAACTTATTTCATGCTGTTCGTGTGGATACCTGGAAGCTTTTGTTGTGCAAGACGAAGCAGATGAGCATTCTAGCCAGGGCAGATTTCATATTTTCATTGCAAACTGAGAAGCAAGGAATGTGTTTAACCATTCAACCCTATTCCTATTCAGAAGCAAGCCCCACTGAGTTCAGTTGAACTTGTTCCCTAGTAAATGTGCCAAGTCCCATTGAACTCAGTTGGGTTTACAGAGAAGATTGTGCTCTAAGCCACATTTGTGAAAACGCTCCGTGTGCATGTTGCTAGACCAACATGCCAAATGCATCCTAATGCCTGCAGTCTTGGGATTGCAAGGTGTGTGTGCAAAGGAAGCAGTTGTGGGGACACCACTTGGCTCTGGATGACCTGGGACAAAGGACACGACTTGAAAATGTGGAATTGCTTTGTGGAACCAAAGATATCTTCTAATTTTGGGATATCGTTGAAGCTGCTGTGCGAAGGAGCGTCTGTGCAGATTGCCAAGGTTATTCGGAATTTGCAAGAGCAAGAGAGAGGTGGTGCCTGATCATTGCAGGAATCAATGATCAATTTGTCTGCCTCTGAACTCCTAGCTCAGCCTTTGCAAACCTGGTACCCTCCAGATGTTTTAGACTACAGCTCACATTGTTCCCAGTGAGCACAGCTCGCTGACTGGAGCTGATCGGAGTTGCAACCACAACATCTGGAGCATCCTGGTTTCGTGAAGGCTGCACTAGTGTTTAGGGTGTCAGCATGAGACAGAACAAAGGTAAAAAACAGGCGACTTCTTGGGGGGGGGGAATATATTCTAATATGTTCTTTCCATAATTGTCTGATATGAAAATAACTTGCCCAAAATAACATTTTGGAGAGGAGGGGGAGAAAGGGAGGGAGAGAGAGAAATCCTTTGTATTCTCTGCAGTACAAAGAAATAGATTCTCTGCTAATTGCTAATTGAAATCTAATATATGCTAATTGAAAACTAATGCATGCAAATAGGTTAATTGCTCTGACATAGAAAGTGGATGGCTTGCTGATTGGAGATGTGTTTATCTGGCTAGTTAAATTTAAAAACAAAAACACACAATTATTGCTCTCTTTACACACACACACACACACACACACACTCAAACTGAGTTTTTCAAGCACCTTGAGTGCTGAGCAGATCTGCCATGGGAAGTGGGTTGGAATGCCTGTGGTTAGATAAGCTTTCCTGTTATACTGAGCAATTTAAAGGCAGAAGCCAGAACCCATAGTGTAGGGCCAAGATTATGGAACAGCGCAAACTGCTCTTGCAATAACAGATGATGGCTATCTGTGGGTGGATGGCATTTAATCCTGCTCTAGATGCTTCATAGCACAGTGGTCGATTGCATGCTCTGCATGCAAAAGGTCTTGGGTTCGTGCCTGAAACCTTAGAGAGCCTCTGGCAGTCCGTGTACAGTACAATAGTGAGCAAGACAAGCCAATGACCTCAGTACAAAGCAGTTTCCTAGAGCTGCAATGTAGGCTTGATCTGCCTTCAGAACAAAGCGCTTTGCAGCTCAGTGGTGATCTGATTTAGTATTGATAAGGATGGGCGTGCGAATCAAGCAAAATTAAATAAATACAGGGGATTGCTTTGCTGTTGCAATGGGAGAAATGCTGTTTGCTTTCTTGTACTTCTTCTGGATCGATTTCCCCAAACTTTCCTGCAGTAGGTTGACTGCTGGCTCCATAATTTCTGGGGGGCTTACTTTGGGCAGGTAACCTTAGGGAACATGCGGGGTCCTCTTGTTGCATCGGCCAACCACATGCGCATGGGAAGCTCTCAAGCAGCACCTGAGCAGCAGGAGGAGTAGTTTGGATTTGATATCCCGCTTTATCACTACCCGAAGGAGTCTCAAAGCGGCTAACATTCTCCTTTCCCTTCCTCCCCCACAACAAACACTCTGTGAGGTGAGTGGGGCTGAGAGACTTCAAAGAGGTGTGACTGGCCCAAGGTCACCCAGCAGCTGCATGTGGAGGAGCAGGGAATCGAACCCGGTTCACCAGATTACGAGACTACCGCTCTTAACCACTACACCACACTGGTTCACAACAGCATCCTCCCCATTTGCAATTCCCAGCAACTGCTATTCAGAGGCATAATGCCTCCCAAAACAGTAGAGTTAGAACATAAACATCATGGCTGTTAGACATTTATAGTCTTGCCCTCCAGGAATTGGTCTGGTCCTCTTTCAAGGCCATCTAAGTTGGTGGCCATCACGACCTCTTGTGGGTGAAAAGCCTTTCCCTATCTGCTTTCTTCGCACCGTGCATAATCTTATGTGCCTCTGGATACACCCCCTCTTACTTTTCTCCTACACTGAACAGCCCCAAATCATGGAATCACAGAATTGTAGAGCTGGAAGGGTCATGTGGCCCAACTCCCTGGAAATGTAGGAACTACAGCTAAAGAATCTCTTTACATTGCAACTTTTTCTCTTAAGGGAGCGGCTCCACCCCCTAGATCATTTTGGTTGTTCTTTTATGGACCTTTTCCAAGTAGTGGGCCTCACAGAGGCATCTAATTGAAAGAGATTGGTGTGTGTATGTGTGCAAATGGATTGTTTTCCCTCATGTTGCCTTTGACATTGGGTTTTCTTTCCATATCTTGCCGGGGAATGTTAGGACCCCTCCTGCAAATCCCAACCATGCTACCTTCTAGAATATAGAGGGAGTTTCTTTTTCTTTCAGTGCCTGCCACTAGGATTTTATTTGCCACCGCTTAATCTGAAATGACCTTGGCAGTATTGATTAATGCACTCCAATTCCCTTTCTTGGAAGGTGGCAAAAGATAATATTCTTTTGTTGTAGGAGTTGCAAGGGGATTAGTATCCCCAAATGCTCAGAACTCTTGGAACTCCTGCCATTAAAATGAGAGATAAGGAGAGGAAAGGGAATTCGAAATGCACAAGGGCTGTTTAGGCTGGGGCTGAAATCATATATACAAACTTCATGGAGCAGAGTGGCACTTACTTCTGAGTAAAAATGTACAGGATTGCTCTGCACCTAGATCTAAAGGCCCAAACATGCTAAGTATATCATTCTGATTTGGCTCAGCTCCACTGAGTTTAAACCCAGCGAGAACCAGCAAAGGTTAGTTGACCAAACTTAGCAGTTGACAAATAATAATAATAATAATAATAATAATAATAATTTATTATTTGTACCCCACCCATCTGGCTGGGTTTCCCCAGCCACTCTGGGCGGCTTCCAACAAAGATCAGGTAAAGGTAAAGGGACCCCTGACCATTAGGTCCAGTTGTGGCCGACTCTGGGGTTGCGGCGCTCATCTCGCTTTACTGGCCGAGGGAGCCGGCGTACAGCTTCCGGGTCATGTGGCCAGCATGACTAAGCCGCTTCTGGCGAACCAGAGCAGCGCACGGAAACACCGTTTACCTTCCCACCGGAGCGGTACCTATTTATCTACTTGTACTTTGACGTGCTTTCGAACTGCTAGGTGGGCAGGAGCAGGGACCGAGCAACAGGAGCTCACCCCGTCGCGGGGATTTGAACCACTGACCTTCTAATCGGCAAGCCCTAGGCTCTGTGGTTTAACCCACAGTGCCACCCGTGTCCTAACAAAGATTAAAAGTACATTAAAATGTCACACACTAAAAACTTAGTGTCAGCTTCCATCCTCATTACATAATTCTCCCAACTATCTCCTACATTACTTTTAATTGGTTAATTAATACACTTTTAATTTGTTAATTAATACACTATTCAGTTAAAAGCATGGCAGGGTAATCTCGGCAGCAGTGTATATTTTTGTGGCTGGATAAGAACCAATGCCATAGTACAGTGTTTCCCAAACTTGGGTCTCCAGCCGTTTTTGGACCTCCACACCCATCATCCCTAGCTGGCAAGACCAGTGGTCAGCAGTGATGAGAATTTTAATCTGAAAACAGCTGGAGACTCAAGTTTGGGAAACCCTGCTGTAGTAGCTCATGTTGATAGAGAGCTGCAGACAGAGACTATCAAGTTAGATGAGCTGCTGGCCTGACTCAGTTTAAAGGCAGCTCCATATGTTAATTTCAAAGACGGGCTAATGAAGCAGTGGACAATATGACCGGCGTACCCCCAATTTTTTTCTGTTGTGCTAGAGCAGGGTTTCCCAAACTTGGGTCTCCAGCTGTTTTGGGACTACAGTTCCCATCATCCCTGACCACTGGTCCTGTTTAGCTAGGGATGATGGGTATTGTAGTCCAAAAACAGCTGGAGACCCAAGTTTGAGAATCCCTGCTCTAGAGCGATGCTGCAGAACATTTTCCAGCCTGAGGACCACATTCCCTTCTGGGTAACCTTCTCAGGGCCACATGCCGGTGGTGGGTGGGGCCAGATGCAAAAGTGGGCGGAGCCTTGAGTATGAATGTAAGGTTGTTCAGTAGGCTAGTTTCTGCGCACTGATTCCCCTTCTTTCCTCCATCCAGCAATGGAAGTGTTATCTGAGTTCAAGGACACATTCCAGACAGGCAAAAATGTTTAGGGTTGGGAAGGGCATGGGACCTGGCTAGAGTTCAGACAGAGGGTCCCATTTGGCTCTTGGACCTGAGGTTCCACATCCCTGCCATCAATGGTGCACCTAGGGTGGCCACATAGCTTGACAGAGCTCTGACAGCACGTCTGTGTTTATTTCTCTCCTCTGCGGCCATCTTGGTGAGTTGATTGCCAGGCCCACTCACTGCTCACATGATGACCCTTCTCAAAATTGCTTCAAGGCACCATTTTGGGGAAGTCAGTGAGTGCTGTATATTAATTGGGAACACTGCATTCAATTCTTATGTGTAAGCCTTTCTCCAGAAACAAATACCTACGCCCATGGGTAGATTTTTTTGTATAACTTGTTCTTACCACCTTTATTGAAATATGAATCAGTCTGGACCAATGACAGAATTTAAATTTGTTGTTTTCTCCTCGCACCCCCCAGTAGGAAGAATGTTGATCTTGATATTGGCATAGCAAGAGTTTGAGCTCAGAATGTTATCTGCATCTGTTGTGTGTGTGTATATATATATTCATACAATAACTTATCTTCAGTTTCCTAATGGATTTGTCTTGACTGATTCAATATTGAAGATGTTCCTAGGGTAATCAGATATACTTGGTTTCCTGATAATTCACTGTGCTTACATGTTTTGCTTGTTCTTTGCGCATAGAATGAGAAAGAGTCACATGGCTCGAGTTAATGTTTGCTTTTAGGGGCAATCTGCTGCTAGTGACGTTGTGGAGACTCGTAATTAGCCCAGCCGTGCTGCACATCTCTCCTTTTCACAATTCCCATACGTGTAACAAAACGTGATTTTGATGCGCCCAAAATATAATGGCCTTGCAATTGAGAAATGAGATTTATCATGAAATAAATTTATTCTGTGCTCCTGTGTGGTTTGCTTTGTGACTGGCATAACGAAGCAGCCCAGGTAGGCCAGGCTGAGAGACAGTTGTTCACCTATGGTGAGCTTTGTGTGGCGAGTTCCTGCCTCCCCCCTTAGAAATAAAGACATGAGACACAAGAATTCGGGTTAATGGGTCAACTTTATTGATTACGGGTTTTGAGCGGTATTGGCTTAGGCATTGGTCCTAACGACTAACCGGCTTCAGCCCGCTTGCTTGAAGACCGGTAAGGGTTAACCACCAGTGAGGGGAGTCCTCCTGATGCACGTCAACTAGGAGCTCCCCCCGGAGTTACCGCTTGGGGGCGTGCCATGGGCCCACACCTTCATAGGCTCAGGACAAGGCCACGCCCCCCGGAATCCTTTATCGGACTACCCTTTGTTTTGGGGAAGGTGATGACGCTTCCTTTCCCCCTTCATCTGCATAACAATAGAACAATACCCCTACCAATGCCTATCCGCCAATACCGAGAAGTTGTGACGGATTGCTATGAGGTAGGCGAAAACCAAGTGGCTGGTGCCAATCTGCCAGATGGAAAAAAATCCTACCAGGCCCCTTGATGGCGACCAACCTAAGTCCATAGCAACGTCAGAGCGCCTAGCCTAACGGGTGGGAGGGAAGGGAAAACCTGGCTAGCTGCAGCGCGGAAAAGAGGGAGACCCTCGGCCGTGTCAGACCTAAATGCAGTGAGGCCACGCCCCCGGGCCAGCCAATTGGCTGGCCTGAAGATGATGCGTCCAAGGATTCCCTGATATCGAGGGGGCTGAAGCCAGCTCCCGCGAGGGTGGGGGAGGGGCGTGAAGCCCACAACCCCACCTCCTCCCTAGCTCGGAAGTGGCTTTGTAGCAGAGTGGAGTTTTGATCCAGGGCTTCCCAAACCCTAGTCTGATACTCTTGCTGCTACATCACACTTGACTTGAAATTCAAACTTTACCACAAAAGAAGAAGAAAGAATATGTTTCATTCCACTTTTATGTTCTAGTTGCAATGATTACGCCAATAAGAACTACTTAGAGCCTATTTCTCCCCAATGTGTCCATTTCTTCTGCCTGTATTATCTGTTAATGGATCCATTTCTGTGATGTCCAGTACCTTAATTGCCCATTCAGTTGATGCAGATGTCAAGTGCTGAGCGGGAGAGGAGTAGATTTGCAGCTCCTAGGAGAGTTTTTTCTGCGTGTGTGCAATAGAAATAATTTGATTGGCTCTTGATAATCCTCTTCGAGAGAGTTCAGTATCAAAGTTAATACATCAGACATCAGCCTTGACACTCATCATTGAAACAATAACCTCGGCAGTCTGGACCCAGAAGGAGGCAAGGGGGGCGGGGGTGACATCCTCAGCAAAAGGTTAATTCAGTGCAAGGACCAGTCACTTGCCCAGGATTAGGGCTATGATGCCCAGTTGAAGGGGCTTGGAAGCAGGATGCAGAAAAATTGGGAAGTGGGCAAGCAGGCAGGTAAGGAAGCAGATCTTGGATCGGGCTGGGGACAACATGTCAAAGAAGCGGGGGCTGGTACCCCTTGGGCAGACGTCAGAGAGCCCTACAGTAGGTGGACCCAGAGTCAATGACTCTCAGAGCTGACTGATTAGAGATTTAATAATAATAATAAAAAAAATTATTTATATCCCGCCCTCCCCAGCCCAAGCCGGGCTCAGGGTGGCTAACAACAATAAAATAATACAACATTCTAAAATCATTTCATTATAAAATTAATTCAAATCAAATTGATGGCAACCATTGGGCTAGAGTTCTGTGAAGATTGCCAAAGGAGGGAGTCAGGCTGTGCCCTGGCCAAAGGCCTGGTGGAACAGCTCTGTCTTGCAGGCCCTGCGGAAAGATGTCAAGTCCCGCAGGGCCCTAGTCTCTTGTGACAGAGCGTTCCACCAGATCGGAGCCACAGCCGAAAAAGCCCTGGTTCTAGATGAGGCCAGCCTAACCTCTCTGTGGCCTGGGACCTTCAAGATCTTTTTGTTTGAAGACCTTAAGTTCCTCTGTGGGACGAGTCAGGATGGTCATCCATCAACAGATAGAGCTGGGTGTCATCAGCATACTGATGGCAGCCCAGCCCAAAAGCTCCGGATTTGACCCCATCTTCCTCCCAGCTGAGTTCTTCAAGGGGCAACACTGAAACTAAGGAGAGGAGGAATGTGGCAGGCAGTGCCCCTTGCTGGAAATGGTCGTAAGTAACAAGACAGGAGTCACTGGCTGAGGGTGGGCAGAAGTTGGTGGGGCAGTGCCCCCTTTGCCCTCATTCGCTAGCTTCTTTTGCAGAAAGCAAGGTGGTTGCTAACAGTTGCCCTGCAAGTGCTGCTATACTAGATAACCAGCAATGTAACAAGAGTGGGTGGAAAGAGGGTCCTGCCGTGGGTGCCACCTGGACAGGGCAGAATGAGCATCAAGATGGATTTCTGGACCATCAATTGATAAAAAAAAAAAAGATGTGATTTTTTTCTTCTTCAGGGTGGAAATGATTACAAATGTTTTCAAGTTGGTTGATATCAGGTGTCAGTTTATTCCGGGGCTTAGTGGGGCCAGCAGGCCGGGCAAAGCGGCAGTGCAGCTCAGAATGGACTCTGTGACTGCAGCCTGACACAGCAAAACACATTCAGGGTGCTATCCAAGTTAGCAATTTGGGGCAAGTTTACCTGCAGGATCATGTTACTCCCATATCCACCCACTTGACTGCTTCATTCTGTGGAACTGACACAGCAACTGGTCCTCATAATACCTATTCTGCCTTTGTAAGAAATCAATCTTTCAGTGTGGCAGAACTTACACACCCTGCCTGACACCAGGCAGTTGCATTCACTGTACTCTTTTCGGTGCCTGATAACATTTTTGTTTAGACGAGCTTGCCTTGACATGTAGAATGTTGGCGTCTGTTTTTAATCTGATTTTGTCTTTTGACTGTTTTAAAGAGTTGTCTTTACTGATAATTTAATTCTTTATTCTCTTTGCAAACTGCTTTTGGGTCCTTTTTTCTTTTTGCAATCAAGTGATGTATTAAATCATATGAAATAAACAAATAAGTTAACTTGGGAGCCTACTGAGTTCAGTGGGTCTTCCTCCTGAGCAGGATTGTGCTGTTTTCAGTCATTAAATACTGCTGACCGGGGACAGGAATGTGGAATTCATTTTAAAGTAAGGCAGGCTTCCTTTCTGGAATGCGCTACATTTTTCAAGAATTGCTGTGTCCATGGATAAGATTACTGTATGTGTTTGCTAAACCAAAATGGGCATAGATGTTACTCATATGCTGGACAGCTTCACAGTGCTGATTTTCAAGCAGGTTTCGCCTTGCTGCTATTGCAAACAAAATGAACCAGAATGAAAAACTGCTACACAATGTGAATAATGGGTTATTTGAATGCATCCTCTCATACCAATAAGTGTGTAATTTCATGAGCAGCTTGAAATGCCAGTGAAATGTTCAATTAGTCCCCAAATAGCAGCCCAGCATTGTTGTTGTTGTTGTTGTTGTTGTTGTTGTTGTTTTGTGTGTGTGTAAGAGATTTCAAGAATGTGAAGCATGTTTGGGAGTCGTCACAAATCCCAGTATTGTTTGCATGGTATTAACAGCATTTTGGAATTCTTTCCTTATGTTCTTTTCTGGCTGCACCTCCATAATAACATTTCAAACTGCGTGTTGTTTTGAGCAACTCCTCTTGAATGCCTGGGAGATGGGGGGTAGGGCATCAGAATGATAATCCAAAAATTGAACAAACACAAATCAGTCACACAGATTTCTCTGAAAAGAGGCTGCATGAGATATGTTCCTGCAATTGCAGCATGGAACCACTGCTGTCTCTTCTGCAAAGCCCTTGGTCCTTGACAGAAACACGTTTGCTTGCACTCATCTCTCACTATTCTTCGCTCTCCATTGTCTTGCTCCTACAATCTCTTCTTCGCTGTCTAAATTTAGTCTGTAAAGCTCTTTAGAGCAGGGACATATATTTGGCTTCTGTTGCTCTGTAAATCATCATGCACAGTGATGGCATGATAAATACATATCTCCACAAATTGAAGGGTGGCCTGTGGATATTCTTATTCTTATGAGCTCATTCGGAGTGGAGGCAATGCTGATCCAGGACACTGTGCCCTCACTCTCAGTTGCCTTTCTGACATAGCCAAATCTTATTGGCTCTGTAGTCTTGCAACGTTGTTCACTTCATTGCATTTTAGATTGTGCTATGGCTGATGTGTTTGCCTCCCCTGGGCTCCTATGGGAGGAAAGGCAGGGTATGAAATGAATGAATGATCCTTGCTTGTTTGGATGGATTAATCCTAGCAAGAAGGGCTGTAACCCAAAGGGCCTTAGGGCCTCAGGTGCAATCCTTGGGATATCTTGGTATGGTTGGGAAACTCTCGTTTAAAATCCTGAGGAGCCAGATGAATCAATGGTCTTCCGAGAGAGAGAGAGAGAGAGAGAGAGAGAGAGAGAGAGAGAGAGAAAGAGAAAGTAAGTTTGATGGAGTTCTGAAAATAGCCTCCCCTGTGAAGCATTGTTCTCCCCCTGGCCACTAAAGGAAAAGGCAAATATAGGGTCCAGCCTTACATTTAATGTGGAAAATTGCTTTGTTGGCATCCATCTGTCTCGAGAGACATTGGCGTGCATCTCTAGGGGTGAAGTCAAACCGCAGCATTAGCAGCACCAAAGTGACGTCTCTGGGATGCAAGCCTGGGCAATGTGTATGGAGGTCCTGGGTTGCCCAGACAACAAGACCCCTCCCTTGGCCTTGTTGATGTGGTCCAAATCAAAGCAGAGCAATGCGTTTGCCACCAGCTTGGCTGCAGGAGTTGCTAGAAGGAGGCGTACAAGGTGCCATCCAACCGTCTTAAGGACTCCACTCTGGATTTGTGTAGGGTTTGCTCCTTCTCCTGAAGATGTCCCACAAGCCAGCCAATCTCCTAGATGGGCTACCTCCCCAGGTTGACGAACCCCATCTGCTCCTCACTTCCCTCTACAACATGTGCAGAAACCCCCTTCCTGACCTTTGGACCCATTACTGGTCTTGTCCACTCAATCCACTGGAGCCTGTCTTTGCTTGTGGAACATTAGAGATTTAAGAGCAATATTTGGCTGGTGATGCTGAATTAGTTGGTACGGCCCGTGCTAAGCATGTACAGCATGTCTAATAGTGCAGGTCTGTGCTTGTTTACTTGAAGGTTAACCCCATTGGTCAGAGGAGTAAGTTTCCCAGGTAAGAGTGCAGCCTTAAATTTGATCTGTTATCAAGCTTGGTTATTATCATTGCCATTATCATAATCACCGCTTACAAACTACTAGCAGCGCAATCTAAACATGGCTACTCAGAAGTAAGTGTGACTAAATTCAGTGGGGCTTACTTCCAGGTAAACAGGATTGTACCCTAAGGTAGGAAGGGAGGACACGACAGAGTTTTTTTTGAAATGATGCACTGTGTGGAGAAACCCAATAGGAAACATCTCTCTCTCTCTTTCATAAAATAGTGGTACCTTGGTTCTCAAATGCCTTGGTACTTGAACAATTTGGAACCAGAAGGCTGCAAACCCAGAAGTAAGGGGTTCAGCTTGTGAACCTTTTTCAGAAGCTGAACATGCTCCGTTTTGAGTGTTATGCTTTTGATTTGAGTGCCACACTTCCATTTTGAGTGTTACGCTGATGTCTGTTTTTGCTATTTATTTTGCGTTTTTGTTTTTGCAGCTTTTTTGTTTGTTTTTGTGACTGTGTGGAACCCAGTTCAGCTGCTGATTGATTGATTGTGTGACTGCAGTACTGTTCATTGTTTATTGATTTCATTTTATGGATCAGTGGTCTCATTAGATAGTAAAATTCATGTTAAATTGCTGGTTTAGGGGTTGTTTTTAAAAGTCTGGAACGGATTAATCCATTTTGCATTACTTTCTATGGGAAAGTGCGCCTTGGTTTTGGAACGGACTTCCGGAACAAATTAAATTTGAGAACCAAGGTACCACTGTACTAAGTCCAGGACCTCTGAGGAAGTTGAATGTTGAAAGAGTCAGGACAGACTAAATAAAGAACTGTGCCACACAGTGCATAGTTAAATGATGGTGTTCACCCCCAATGGGAGGCAGCGATGGCCACTAACTTTGCAGGCTTTAAAGGAGGCTGAAACAAGTTCATGGAGGCTACAGCTATCAATGGCTCCTAGTCCAATGGCTGTGTTCTGCCTCTACTGTCAGAGATGGTATAACTCTGAATATCAGTTGCTGGATGCCACAAGTGGGGCGAGCACTGTTGTGTTCCTGGCTTTCTATACATAGGTATTGTATCTGCTTGGCCACTGTGAGGACAGAACGCTGGAACCAGGAAGGCCTCTTAATGTTCTTCCTGTACACACCTAGCGGTCAGTCTCATTGAACTCACTGGGATTTACCTCTGGGTAGACATGCATTGGAATGCACAGAAAATGTTGCACATGCATTGAAATGTGCGGCAAATGTTGTACGTGGTGTGTATTCCAACACCTGTTTTCTATTGGCTTATTATCCTGCATATTAGTATAGCAGTGGAATATTTTTCTTTGTATAAAATCCTAGCATCATGACGGGTGTGTTTTCTCTTTCTCTTTCTTAATGACATTTTAATTCTAGCCCTCCTCTTGGCATCTACAAATTGCTGGTGTATATTACCTCTTAGGCTGACATTTCTATATGCTTATATTTGGCCAAGATCAAATTTTTCTTGGAAAGTTTTAGGAACATCTGTTTAGCCATTTGGGGGCTATTGAAGCATGTAGAAATTATACCACTCAGCTGTTTAAATTTTGCTAAAGTACTTCTTCCTATTTTAGAATGGGCATGAATAGAAAATAGATCAAATGCAATAACTGAGAATTTCAAAATGGGCTTCCTCTGGGGCTCTTCTCTCTCCTTTCGCTCTATCCTGATTGCAGCTACTATTCTGCACCTTAGAATATTCCATTTCTGGAAATTTTGGAACAAGACGGAGATAGACTGAAATTGCAGAGTTTTGAAAAATTAAAAAACAAAGTGCGAGACTGGCTTCATTATTATCAAATAATGGAGGCATTTAAATTAGACAGGAAAATTGGCTTCCAGGTGGAAAAATCAAAATTAGAAACAGAATTGTTAGAACCCAATACTAAGAATCTGTCAAGAATGTATAACTTGCTGCTGAAATGGAATACTCAAGATGAAACGGTAAAATCGGCTATGATTAAATGGGCACAGGACGTAGGACATAACATTATGTTTGCTGACTGGGAACAGTTATGGACCACTGGTATGAAATTTACGGCATGTAATGCCTTAAGAGAGAATATTATGAAAATGATATACAGGTGGTACATAACCCCAGTCAAGCTTGCGAAAATCTATCACTTGCCCGATAACAAATGTTGGAAATGTAAAGAAACTGAAGGTACATTTTTTCACCTTTGGTGGACGTGCCCAAAGATTAAGGTTTTCTGGGAAATGATATATAATGAATTAAAAAGGTATTTAAGTATACCTTCCCCAAGAAACCAGAGGCCTTTCTCCTGGGCATAGTGGGCCAAATGGTGTTAAAAAGGGATAGAACTTTCTTTATGTATGCAACAACAGCAGCAAGAATACTCATCGCAAAGTATTGGAAGACACAAGAACTTCCCACGCTGGAGGAATGGCAGATGAAACTTATGGACTATATGGAATTGGCGGAAATGACTGGTAGAATCCGTGACCAGGGAGAAGAGTCGATGGAGGAAGATTGGAAGAAATTCAAAGACTATCTTCAGAAACACTGCAAAATTAAGGAATGTTAAAGTGATGTTGGATTGAAAATAAGTGGTTTCCAGCTGTACAGGTTAAAGCTAAGGATAGATTAAGATTAAAGATTAAGATTAAAGATGTTTAAAGAAATGGAAATTTGATAATAAAAGGGAAAAATTTAAAGGTATATGACATTAAGAACAAGGATTATGTTTAAAAAAGCTGAAGCTATATAGTTTAATATTTCATTAAATTAAAGATTGGGTTTTAAAAAGTGGAAAAGAAACTGCTGGACAAATAATGTAGATTGGAATACAAAAGAGGGAGGTATGAGGAAGTCCAGAAAATAAGTAATTCAAAATTGGGAATGTAAAAGAGAGTTTGTTTTAAATTGTTATGTTGTGTGTTTTTATTGTTAAATTTTGTATTGTTTTTTTGTGTGTGTGTGTTGTTTTTTCTTTTTTCTTTGTTTAAAACTTTAATAAAAATTATTCAAAAAAAAAAAAAAAAAAAGAATATTCCATTTCTGAGAGCCACTGCAGGTATGAAGAGTCTGGCTCGGAGTGGATAAAATTGGTTTCAAACTCCTGGTCGGTCATGAATCTTGCAGTATGACTTTGGGCCAGCCACTATAGGCCAATTTAGACATAAATGCTAAATGTTACTTTGGATCATGGCCGCCTATTTCCATCTCCAGTTTTGGTGTGGGCACAAGGAAGAGTTCAAAAGCTTAGGCTTCCATTTTCAGTTGATCCAAGTTTTGCATTCTGTCTAAACTCTAGGCTGTTGTTAAGCTAATTATGGTTTCGCACAACAAGCCAACTTCATAAACAACAGATACAAGATGCCTGAGGTTCCGCAGGACTGTTTGAAAACCTTTTTGACCAGATGTGTGAGTTGGACAATGGAAACATTTCTGCAGATGCCATGAGGGACAATATCCCTGTTGCGCTACTTTCAGCTCTCCTAAAAGTTATTGTCTGTCTCTTGTCTCGGACCCAATCCCAGCCAGTTTCCAAGGAGGCACTTCTCTGACTTTAATGGCTGCTTGATTTTAATAATAGTAACCTTGGTGGCTTAACCTTGAGTGATTAATTGCTCTTCTCACATTTACAAATCCGTCTGCCAGCAGCACATCTGCCTGTTGCTTGTGTAGCTCTTGATTTTAATTTCTCCCGGAAAAAAGACTCGGGCTTCCTGTAAAGGTAGAACAAGGAGTGGAAGTCAGATATGCATTTTACTCAGAGTAGACCCATTTGAACTAATGAACATGACTAAGTTAGGTCTACTCGGAGTAGGAACTTAGTTGAATCCCACCCCAGAAAGTTGGACATCTGTTAGAGATACTGTAGATTCTTCTGCTGAGCAGGAGGTTGGAATGGATTCACAGCAGCTGTGAAGCTCTCACTGCAATATGATGCCCTTTTGTTGACTTTCTTAAGACATTCTAACATGATTTTCACCCTCCATGGACTCATGGAACCTTATGGAAAGGCGCTTTCATTGGAACTGCTTTTCTTGGAATGTCTCAAACTACAACCATTGGCTGCTATTTATCATTCTCTTTTCTGTATTAAGCTCTGTATGGGTACGTTTTGTTACTTGACATTAAAAACCAATTGAAAATAGTTAAAAAATTGGAAAGTACATGCCTTTAAAGCAGTACTATACCACTTTAATGGCATGACTTCCCCCCAAAGAACCTTGGGAACTGCAGTTTGTTTTGAAATGCTAAGAGAACCCTATTCCCAATACAGAACTACAACTCCCAGAGCTCCCTGGCAAGGAGGATTGATTGTTAAACCACTCTGGAAATCGTCAGGGGAGGTCTGTGATGGGAAGAGGCATCTCCTAACAACTCTCAGCATGTTTAGCAAATTACAATTCTCCAGATTCTTGGGTGGAAACTGTGGCTGGTTTTTAAACAACAACAACAACAAAACAAAACCAAAAACCTGCATTTTCATTTGCATGTTGTTTCAGTGCAAATTAAGATAGTTTTGCATTGTGTTTCCCATTACTATTCCTTTCAATAAAACCCCGCTGCTATTGATAGATTCTATGGGGGACAAAATATATGGAATTATTCTTTTATACCTCTTCATTCATTTCCCATATACCATTAGGTCTTGACTGGAAAACTTTCCCCATCTTTTCTCTCTCTCCCTGTAACTACAGGATTTTCTAAATGCACCATGTATGGACCATTTTCTCTTTTACATTTCATCACAGACTTTCATAGCAGCCAAGACTATATATCGGCCAAGAACATCCACTTGGCTAAACGGTCAAGGAACTTACAAATGGCATTTTTGCTGTCTAGTTGCACAGCTGTGAATATGTCATACCTGGAGATGCTTCAAAAGTTTGAGCTCAGGGCTTCTTGTGAAATTGTTGTTAGACATTCTTGCTTGTTGGCATTGGGGAAAACTGGGAGTCCAGCATTTATGTTGTATATAAGTAATAAGGAACCCAGCACTCTAGGTACCCCTTTAGTTGAGGTTCATTGAAGATAAAACCAAACTTTCAGTTTGTATCTTAGGAGCCACTATTCCTTAGCAAAGCAGGCTGAAGTCTCCACTTTGGGCTAATGATTTGCTAAGGAATGGTGGCTGCTAAGCTACAAACCACAGCCAACACACAATCATTACTTAGCTTGTGAACCACCCTGAGACCTGCAGGTATGGGGAAGCAAATGTCGGTGTACTGGAAGAAGCAAAGATCACCAGTGTTGAAGCAATAATTCTTCAACATCAACTTCATTGGACTGGACATGTTGTGTGGATGCCTGATTATTGTCTTCCAAAGCAACTACTCTATTCCGTACTTAAAATGGAAAGCATAATGGTGGTGGTCAACAAAAAAGGTTTAAAGACTGTCTCAAGGAAAATCTAAAAAAATGTAGTATAAACACCAGCAATTGGAAACACTTGCCTGCAAGCACTCCAATTGGAGAACAGCCTTCACCAAAGGTGCCATGGACTTTGAAGACACTCGAACTCAGGACGCAAGGGAGAAACGTGCTAAGAGGAAGGCATGCTTGGCAAATCCACACCGTGGTCAACTTCCGCCCAGAAACCAATGTCCCCACCATGTGGATCCACAGTCACTTACGGACTCACTGTTAAAACTGTGTTTATGGAAGACAATTTTACTCAGCTATGAGTGATTGCCAAAGAAAGAAGAAGATAAATTTAATAAAAAATAAAAAATAGTAACAATAGCCACAAATCCAGATTAAGCACAGTTCATTATATTGTCTAGTCCCTTGAGAGTTAATTTAAACCTACTTATTTTGTTTTACGTTCCACCTTTCTTCTGTTGGACTCAAAGTACTGCCTAGGAGTTTCCAAGCAATTGCGGCATTCCCTCCAACATTTCTCTGATTCTGATGAATCAGAAACCTGGATAGCTTCTGTAAATCCAGGACTGTCCCTGGAAAACAGGGACACTTGGAGGGTCTGTTGTGGTGTCTCATCCATCCAGCCCAGCCCAGATGCAGACCTGCTTAGCTTCAGAAGCTTGCTGCCTCTTGTGCCCTCAGGGGCCATTATGGCAGCTTGAAGTGCCCCCATCTTATTGTGTAAAGGTTGTTCAATCTTTCTTCCACCTAACCTTCAGTACTGCCTATCTCCAAGCCCTCTGGGAAGAGTAAAATACTCTCCACGGTGTCAATTTCAGACTAAGCTGCACTTGATACGTGGCACTACATCTGCAGATTAGCTGAGATGTATGACACACACACGGGCTGCTGTTGCTAGGGAGGGAAGAGCCTGTTGAGGAGGTTTATTGGATTACAAAATTTGCTCTTAAAAATGAGACCGGGAGGAAGTGGAGCTATTCCAGCTTTCAAAATAATTCCTGTAATACAATTTTCTGAAGCAAGGTGTAGCTGGAAAAAGAAACTGATTGTGGCTCAAAATCACTGGGGAGCTAGAATCTGAACTTGGGATCTTGGCGGAAAGCTAGGCTTTATTTTCCTGCCTTTTGACAGTATATATAAATCTAACTCTCATTTTGCAAGATGACCTTTTGTGTGAACAAGAGATTTGAGGAGTTTAGTGGCGGCATACTGTCAGCACAAGCACAAAACAGGACAATAAGCTAGGGTGGAATTCAGAACGGCTCATTTTGGGAGGTGAAATCAAGAGGTTTGTATGTGCTATGGCGGGTCCCTAAATCCATCGGAGCAGATTTTGAGGGTGCACAGAGTAGGGACTGCAAAAAGAAGGAGGAGCGGGAGCTCCATTGTGCAAGAATAAGTCTAATGTTTGAGTGGAACAGCAGCCATGTTTACAACCTAAAGTTGTACTTCCTGGAGAGAGAGTCAAAGCAATGGTGAGCAAACTTTATTTTGGTGTTGGTGGCCCAATTTCCTTTGGCGTAGGTTAGGGGGCTTGTGATGATTGTGGATGGGGCTGAAGACAATGGTGGAAATGACCAGAGCCTAAAGTAGGTGATGGCATCCTTCCCTCCCTCTCTTTCATTCTCTTTCTCTCCCCCCCCTCTGCCTCCCTTCCACTCCTTCTCTCCCCTGCTGCTCATCCAATGGGCTGTTGCAGGAGGGACAGATCATTCTTTCCAGATGTCTGAGCAGAGATCACCTTCAGAGGAGTTTTGAAAGTCAGCCAAGGACCACATAAAATTTGAGTGAAGGCCACATGCAGCCGGTGGGCCACAGGTTGCCCATTGCTGGTTTAAGGTAAACCATACATGGGCAGGGAACCAAGGAGCTATTTGATTGATAGGTTCGTATTTTCTCAAACGTATACAGCATAATGACATAACAGTCCATAAATCATTATCACGTTCAACTTAATAAAACAGCTTTGCAAATTATGGCTCATGCCCCAAGTGATCAATCTCTCAATCAATATTACTGTGTACAAAGACAAGGAGGGAGAGAGTTACTGGAGGTGAAAACATTCCAAAGGGCGCATGCATATTTTTATAAAATATTACAGGTTTTTTTGGGGGGCTTGGGGGTTGGGGTACATTTTCCATAAGCCACTAAGATATACAATTGTCCTAATGGCTCCCATTTGTGTTTGTATTAAGCTTTCAAGGAATGTGTTTATTTCTAAAACTGATACCTGCTTCTTCAGTGACCATCACCATTCCCTGGATGGCTTATAAACCATAGAAGAACAGAGTAAACCTCCTTAAAATAAGAATGTTCTCTTGCTTCTGACTTTGATGGGGTTAAGGTAATCTCCCAAACCAGGAGGGAAGCATTATAAAGTGGCATGCATAAATGGAAGGGAACCATGTTACTATAATTTTATAAGTACGGTATCATGATAGAAAGATGAAAGTGGGTCACAAGCTAGAACATGTGTGGAGCAGGGTGACCAAGATGATCAAGGGTCTGGAAACCAAGCTTTATGAGGAACAGTGGAGAGAGTGGGTATGTTTAGCCTGTTAAAGAGGAGACTCGGAGGAGATATGATACCCATCTTCAAATACAGTGGTACCTCGAGTTAAGAACTTAATTCATTCTGGAGGTCTGTTCTTAACCTGAAACTGTTCTTAACCTGAGGTACCACTTTAGCTAATGGGGCTTCCCACTGCTGCACGATTTCTGTTCTCATCCTGAAGCAAAGTTCTTAACCTGAGGTACTACATCTGGGTTAGAAGAGTCTGTAACCTGAAGCGTCTGTAACCCAAGGTATCACTGTAACTCAAGGGCTGTCACATGGAAGAGGGAACAAGCTTGTTTACTCCTGCTTTGGAGGATAGGACTCAAACCAATGGCTTCAACTTACAAGAAAGGAGATTCCGACTTAACATTGGGAAGAATATCAGGAAGAACTTTCTGAGAGTAAGAGCTGTTTGACGGTGCAACAGGCTCCCACGGGTGGTTGTGGATCTTCCTTCCATGGAGGCTTTTAAGCAGAGGTTGGATGGTCTCTGAGATTTGTGTATCACTTTGTGGGGTGTGTTTGTGTTGAACTAGAAGACCCTTGGAGTTCCTTCCAGCTCTACAATTCTGTGATTCTTATCAGAAAGCTTAGGAATATTGGAAGCTCCTAATACTATCTGGCAGTGGCTCTCTATGGCTTCAGACCCAGGGGCGTAGGAAGGGGGATGGCTCACCCCAGGTGTCACCCTGAGGAGGGATGACAAAATGGCGGCTGGCCAAAGGCTACACTCACTGTAGGGTGGCCAAGGGCCCACGCACGCTGTCGTTATGGCCGCTGCTCAAGCGCTGTCCCTATCGGTGGTGCTCGATCGGCACCGTCTGTATCGGTGCCACACATGCTCCACCAGGTGGTTTGTCCCGCCCCTGTGGGTGGTTTGCTCCACCCCTTAACACCCCGCACCGGGGGCTGAAGAGCCTTCCTTCACCACTGTTCAGACCAGGAACATTCTCAGATGTACCTGAAGGTGTTGGGGATTTAAAAGACAACTGAAGGTGGCCCTGTTTTGGGTTTTTAATGTCTGACACTGTATTGTTTTTAATATTTGCTTGGAAGCCGTCCAGAGTGGCTGGGGAAACCCAGCCAGATGAGCGGGGTATAAATAATAAATTATTATTATTATTTTGAACTTGGGAACTTCCACATGCAAGCAGTCACTCTGTTCCTGTGCTAATAAGATCCTTCCCACTGACCAACAGACCTTGTGCCAGTAACACACATCAAGAAGAGCTTGACTCTGGCCCTGATAGGGATAACTGTAGCAAATGGTTTTGGTGTCACAGATTTGGCAGTTGTGAGAAGAGAGCCAGAAAAGAAAGAATAGAAAAAAAAGAGGAGTGAGAAGAGTGGTGAATCTAAACCAAGTGCCTAAAGAGAATGTATTAATACAAAGGATCGCTTAGTGTATCAACAGTTCTTTTCATCAGAAGCAGCTGCAGGTGTCAATGGACTGAAAGTAAAATCGATGTAAGAACAGAGCTACAAATCTGTCAAAAAAAAAAGTCTGAATAACAGTCACAAGGAAACCACCAGCGTACAACTTGCATAAAACCAAAAATTAATAATATGTTGCACATAATTATCTTGATACAAATGTCAAGCTGACATCTAGAATCTCTTAAAAAAATACTGTGAACAGCAGATTTATGAAACAAATAATTAGCTAACTATATATATGAGAGAGGGAGGGAGAGACAAGCCTGATAGTTGGGGGCTAAAATCTCCAGCTGTGTTCAGAATACTCCAACCCACTGACTACAGTCTGAAGCTATATTCAGTTGTTCCTTCATATGCATGCAAAAAAAGGGCTTGAGACTGTGTCCTCCTGCTTCTGCCTCCAATATTCCTGGACATTGGTGGCCCTGCTCTCATTGCCTGCACACTGGGGGGGGGGGGGAGTTTGACTTTACCAACACCATTTTGTCCACCTGGGTTCCACCATAACCAGCAACCTCTCAATCGATGCTGAGCTGGACAAGCATATTGGCAAGACAGCTACAGCAATGGCTTACCTCTCTGAAAGGGTATGGGACAATGTGATGCTTAACATCCAATATCAAGATGAAGGTCTACCCGGCTTGCGTGTTGAGCACATGGCTTTATGGTAGAGAGTTGTGGGCCACTTACAACTGCCAGGAATGATGCCTCGATGCCTTCCACAAGATCACCTCTCAGACTTAATTGCTGGGGTGGAAGTGAGAGTGTGGTTGTCTCTCTGTGTTTGTTGGATTAGGTTTAGGGTTAAGTGTCTGGTACGGAGACCCCTATCTCCTTCACAGAGCTCCAGTACTCAAGAGCTCCCTGGGAAGAGGGACTGATTGTTAAACTACTCTGGGAATCGTAGCCCTGTGAGGGAAATATGGGTCTCCTAACAACTACAAGCACCCTTGGCAAACTACAGCTTCCAGGATTCTCTGTGGGGAAGCTATGACGGCTTAAAATTGTGGTGTTGTTGTTTAGTCGTCTTAGTTGTGTTCGACTCTCCATGATCTCATGAACCAGAGCATGCCTTGGAAACTCTCACTTTCTTCTCAAAGCGTCTCCTTTTTTATGTCCATGGAGTTTTCTTGGCAAAATACTGGAGTGGTTTGCCAGTTCCTTCTGCAGGTGGATCACATTTAGTCTAAACTCTCCACTATGACCTGTCCATCTTGGGTGGCTCTGCATGGCATAGCTCATAGCTTCTTGGAGTTATTCAAGCCCCTTCACCATGACAAGGCAGTGGTCCATGAAGGGGGAAATTGTGTTACACCACTCTAAATGTATAGTACAGATGGAGTTTTAATGGATGTCTTATAGATATTTTTGGTGGACATTCTCTGATCAGTGGGTTGAACCTGGAGCTTGGCTGTCGTTACTGTGAACTTTTTTATAAATAATAATAATGTGCTGTGCATTTGTGGTGGAACATCTAAGTAATGAGCAAACATGTGATCATCTAATAGAGAAAAGTGGTGGATGAGGCCCCAGGTTATTTTCCTGCTAGCCCATTGTTCAGAAAACAGAGGGAAACAAATGCAAATTGTTCAGCACGGAGAAGTTCTTTGCAAAACACCTTTTGCAAGGGTTGTGTTAGAAGAGCTGCCTCTCTCCACCTCCATTAGAGCTTTGTGCTAAATGTTTTTTGAGGCCGTGCCAAGATCTGGGTGACCTTGATAGTTGTCCTGCAATGGAAAGCTGAGACATGTATGCTCAGGAAAGGCCTTAATAATTGACTTGAAAGCTGGAGATTGCCAATCCTAGAATTTACCACAATAAAAACATACTATTGGGAGTGTTGTTGGGGGTGGCCAGGTGTCAAGACTAGAAATGACCTGATATTTGGGAGACATTTCTCCCCTGCCCATTTAGGGCAGAAGCAAATAGCTCCCTTGCCCATATTAGGAAAGAGTGGGAGAAATTCAGTGGCCTGTGGGTTTTTTGCTGAATAGCATCATGAGAGAAGCGGGGGACTTGAGAATTCATTCAAACCTGGGAAATATTGTGTAAACTTTCTTGATTATAATGCTAGCACATTTGTCATGTTTTCTAATGTTCCTTTCACTGCAGTGCCTGTTGCATTATGGAACAGTGGCTCTTTGACCAATAAACTGGCATATCATGCTAAATTTCATTCATACCAGCGGTTGTGCTGTGACACAACAATGGGTGCTGTTGGACCTTGTCGCTGTCCCCCCCCCCCTTCCCACACATGCATGCTTCTTATTCCCCCACAGATCACCCGGGAAAACCTCAAGAATGAACTATATGTCAGTATGCCACCCCAAATTCCATCATTTTATTCCTGCAGTTTTCTAACTTAATGGACTTGCAGTTAATGGAAGCAATAAGCAGAGAAATGAGCACTAAACTGCCACCAGATTTCTGCAGGTGGCTTCTACATTGTGTGAAACCTCAAGTAAAATGTGGAAATTAACAGTTAGGGAAAAGAAATATAATGCTGTAAGGATTCAGCCTGAATTAGGCTGGTGGACCAGATCCTTATCTCTCCCGCTCCTCATGAGGCAAGTTTGGCAGGGGGGCAGAGCCACCCACCTGTCAGTCACCTGGTGTTGCAAAGTGCAGATTTCCACCAATCACAAAACGCTGTGTGCAGAACTTCAGGGCTGCCATTGGTCAGCAGATTGTCAGTGCCTACAAACCTGCTTTGGTCCAGCTGCATCCTTGCCTTCCCTATCCCTGATGCCATATTTGATGTTAGGTATAGGGCAAGTGGAGGCGACTTGGCTGAAACAGCCCTGGTGGGCAGAATGGCTTAGTTCATTTATTACATGCTGCCGTTCCACAGTGAGCTGTGCCCCAAAACAGGTGCCCCTAAACATCCACTTATCAAAAAAGCAAGCATTGGGGGTAGCTGAGAGAAGCCAGCTTACAAAATGTATCCATAAATTCAAGCAGGGCAAAAATCAACATCGGAACCAACATAGAGTAAATTCCGTATTACAAAAGAAACTCTTTCTCTTTAGTGATCACTCGTAGCTGGGTAAAATTGTCTTCCATAAACACGGTTTTAAAAGTGAGTCTGTAAATGACCGTGGAGGCCAATTCTGGATCCACATGTCCTCCCACAGTGGGGACATAGGTTTCCAGGTGGGAGTTGATAACGGTGAGGGTTTCCCAAATGTGCCTTGCTCTTAGCGCATTTCTCCCACTGTCCACTGTCGAACAGCTCTTACTATTAGGAAGAACTTCCTGACAGTAAGAGCTGTTCGACAGTGGAATTTGCTGCCAAGGAGTGTGGTGGAGTCTCCTTCTTTGGAGGTCTTTAAGCAGAGGCTTGACAACCATATGTCAGGAGTGCTCTGATGGTGTTTCCTGCTTGGCAGGGGGTTGGACTCGATGGCCCTTGTGGTCTCTTCCAACTCTATGATTCTATGATTCCCTTTCATCCTGAGTTTGAGTGTATTCAAAGCCCATGGCACCTTTGGTAAAGGCTGTTCTCCAATTGGAGGGCTCGCAGGCCAGTGTTTTCCAGTTGTTGGTATTTATACTACATTTTTAAAGATTTGCCTTGAGAGTCTTTGAAGCTCTTTTGTTGACCACCAGCATGACACTTTCCATTTTTAAGTTTAGAATAGAGTAGTTGCTTTGGAAGATGATCATCAGGCATCCGCACAACCAGTCCAACGAATTTAGACTTCAATACGTAAGTACTGAGCAAAGGAAAGTGAACAGAGAATCAGGTTTCAGTTGCTGTCGCTAGTCTTGCTGAACTCCATGAGGCAAAACACTACTAAACCTTAGGTTACGTAAATACAATGCTGGTAACAACGCACACAATGTAACAGGCTGTTTTTGACTCTGTAACTTCTATTTCAAACACAGTTCAACAGATAATAATTCACAAAGTGTAATTCCATAGACCAACACATCATGCAAACAGAACATATCAAGAGAAATTAAAGTCCAATGGATGGTCAGGAGATAAAGTCCATTTGGTTCCTAAACTGGCATATTGGCAATAACCATAATATGGTATGCTTATCTTCTGATGTTCCACATATATATGTTCTGTTTGCATGATGTGTTGGTCTATGGAATTACACTTTGTGAGATATTATATATTGAATTGTGTTTGAAATAGAAGTTACATAGTCAAAAACAGACTGTTATGTTGTGTGTTGATACCAGAACTCCAGTGTTGGTGCTGATCTTTAAAGCCCTAAATGGCCTCGGCCCAATATACCTGAAGGAATGTCTCCACCCCCATCGTTCTGCCCAGACGCTGAGGTCCAGCACCGAGGGCCTTCTGGCGGTTCCCTTACTGCGAGAAGCAAAGCTACTGGGAACCAGGCAGAGGGCCTTCTTGGTGGTGGTGCCTGCCCTGTGGAACACCCTCCCATCAGATGTCAAAGAGAGAAACAACTACATGATATTTAGAAGACATCTGAAGGCAGCCCTGTTCAGGGAAGCTTTCAATGTGTGACATTTTGATGTATTTTTAATCTTTGTTGGAAGCTGCCCAGAGTGGCTGGGGAAACCCAGCCACATGGCCAGGGTACAAATAATAAATGATAGATTGAGGGCACAAGGAGAAGGGGATGACAGAGGACGAGATGGTTGGGCAGTGTTCTCGAAGCTACCAGCATGAGTTTGACCAAACTACGGGAGGCAGTGGAAAACAGGAGTGCCTGGCGTGCTCTGGTCCATGGGGTCACGAAGAGTCAGACATGACTAAACGACTAAACAACAACAAATTATTATTATTATTATTATTATTAGGCTGCAGTAGGCTGTCTTTAAGCACAATTCAAATGAGGAAGCATGGCAGGGGCCTAATTTGGCCAACAGGAAGGTTTCCCACTCCTACATTGTGAGGTGGCTGAGTGGTGTTCTTCATTTTAATACTCGTAAAAGTTTCAAACCTGTCTCTAGTGCCACCACAGCCTCCTGCACTTCCTGGAAGGACAGGACAACCTCTTATCCAAAATGCATCCCGGAAAATCACTCCAAAAGGAGGTGGCTTTGGGAGGGGGTGTGTCCTGTGTCCTGAGGCTGGGGGAAAGACCTGGAGGGCCACGTTTGACCCCCTGGACACGAGGTTCCTCTCCTCTTGGTGAAACACTTCGCTGAGAAAATGGCTCACAATACCTTGTGAACCCAACTCTGGATTCTGCTCTTTTTACGTTCTCAGCTGCCTGAGGTCATTTCAACTGGGAACATCAGACCAAGTCAGGGGTCTTCCATATGTTGAAGCTGGTGCTTGATCAGTGAGTTGCGGTGGTCCCTATGGCAGAGCGTCACAATTCTAGGCAGCTCCTTCAGGCTCCTGGCTGCAACCCGCAGCTGCCTGGCTCTGCTTTAAGACTTCCTTGTTGCTGTGAAATTCTATGAGCAGCAAAAATAGCAATCTTTAAAGAACTTGCTCGCTTTGGACAGCTCTTTTTTTCAAAAATCTGTTCAAAGCAGGAATTCCCCGTGTCTAATTTTCTTTTGAGTTAGAAGCCACTGTTTAGCTCTCTGAGTGACAATAGTGATTCTTTGTGCCGTAATGTAGAAAACAGAGGTTCGGCGGGGTGTTGCTATCGTTTAAACACCAATTAATGCTGTAATTTCTTGGCTGCAGCAGTAAAGGATTCCTTTTCATTTTTAATTTGCATGGATTCTTGAAAGTGTGTACTGCTATGCTGGTGCTTAGCAGGGAGTCGTTAATGGGTGGGATTGCATTACCATCCTCCCCCTTCCATCCCTGGTTTCTTATGGTAACCCTCCCCCCTGCCTTTGTGGAAAATAAAAAGGGGGTAAGCCCCACCTAAGCCATTACCACTCCGCATGCGTTAATGTTCCTGCTATTCATCCTGCCTACAGAGACATGCTGTTCCTAGTATACTCCCTGTGCCTTGCAGATCTTGAAAAGCATTATGCATTGTGATGAAAGTTTGACATTTATGTACACGGGATGGCGTGTTTTGTGTGTGTAAGAACTCTGTGATTTCTATTATTTGGCACTCCACAAGCACGATAATCTAGCTTCATAAGAAGAGTGTGTTAGAGCGCATTGTATGGCAGAGTGAAAGTTCATCTGTTAATGCAAAAGAAAAAGGGAAAGCAAGGACAGATCTTTAAAAAAGCAAAAAGCTAGGTTGTTTGAACCAGTGGTTATGGAAAAGGCTGCTTTGTCTCTCAAGAAGCACATTCCACAGTGAGACAAGAGTCTTGATAAGTGCGCCAGCCTGAAAATCCCCCAGAACACTCAGGAATCCATCAGATTCCATCAGTCTTTGAGAGTGCACCAACTCGTTGAGTCTCTCCTGCGGAGTTGAGTAGCTACATTTAGCCTAAACCTCACCAGGGAATGGTCTATCCATGACAAGTGACTCACACTGAGCCCCTCCCCTCCACCCCAGTCAATGGAGTATTACTAGTTTGCTCTGAGGAAAAGACCAGGTCTACACCAGATTAGGTGTAGGGGAAGCAGCTGTGGTTTGGGGAATATGGCCTTATGAGTCAAATTGAGACCCATGCTGGGCCAAATTAGTCTGGAGGTTCTCCAACCTCGCAGTAAATGAGCTATGCTGGAAGCAGAAGAGCAGCAGAATGCTCCAGCTTTCCTCCTCGCCTGAGGAGGAGCCCGTTCAATTTTCCAGCATGGAATTGAGTGCTCTCACCTGCATGGAATTCCCTGGTGCCTATAGCTACCAGGTGAATGTTTCAGTACACAGCTGCAGTATAAACAGACTGCTGTGGTCAGACCACTTTGAACAGTCAATAAAACAAGCCATTTCCTACAAAAACCGCTGTGGCGCAATAGCTTATCTCTGATGTGCCACCTGACTTTTCAGCTTCCAGACACATGACTCTGTTCTGCTTGGACTATGCCCCCTTCCACACTGAATTTTATATATTGATTCAACATTTGTTCCCCACCTTTCCTTGAAGGTGCTCATGGTTCTCCCCCCGCTGATATCATAATGCTGTGATGCAAATATGTGACCATGCCTGGAATACACCTCTGGTCCTCTCGCCTCAAAAAGGAGACTATAAAATTGGAAAAGCTTCAGAAAAGGGTTACTTTTGCAGCTTATTGGGACTTTTTAGTTTAGAGTAAATTTAAGAGGTGACATTATGCATGGCATGGAGAAAATTGCTGGAGAAAAGTTTTTGCCCTGCTCCCATAGCACTAGAACTTGTGACTATCCGGTGAAACTGAATGTTGGAAGAAGCTTCAGGACAGATAAAAGAAAATACTTATTCACACAGCACATAATTAAACTATTGAACTTGCTCCCGCAGGAGGAAATGAAGTGATGGCCATCAACTTGGATGGCTTTAGAAGGGAACAAATTCATGGACAATAAGGCTTTCAGTGTAGGGTTACCAGACGTCCCCGGTTCCCGGGGACAGTTCCCTGATTTGCAAATCTGTCCCTGGGCAAATTCCGTCCCCAGGATGTCCCCAGATTTGCAAATCTGTCCCTGGTAAACATGGCAGCGGCAGCCTCAGCAGCCCAGAGCCAGCGTGTTAACACACTTGGCTCTGGCTAGCTTCAGGAGCTGCTCGCTGCCGTGGCACCCACCATTTTCCTGCACCACGGCAGTGGATGGAGTGGATGGGGCAGTCTGTTAATGTGGAAAAAGCACAAAAGTAAGGGGAGAGGGCCGTGCAGAAAGCCATGTTTTAATTGCTCCTCTTATTAGCCTCCCAACAAAAGCAAAATAAAACTGTAAAAACAGATAAACAAACAGAATATTTCAGCAGACACCTGCAGTGTCATATTGTTCTGCAGTCAGGTTGGTGAATAAAAGAAAGCAGGAACCTAAAAACTTGGGGTGGGTGGGGAAGAGACACTGCTATCTAATTAAAGCAAGGAAAAAACCCAAACAGATTAAGCTGAAGCCATCATGTTTCCTACATGCTGTGCTGGGAATAAATTAAATGGCAAAGTTTCAAACATTCCAGGTCCTGGTGCAAAACTAAAATAGAATCATAGAATTGTAGAGATGGAAGGAACCCCAAAGAAATGGAGTTCTTTATTGCAGGGTTGGGAGGAGCTGTTTGAAATGGGTAAAGGGACCCCTGACCATTAGGTCCAGTCGTGACCGACTCTGGGGTTGCAGCGCTCATCTCGCTTTATTGGCCGAGGGAGCCGGCGTACAGCTTCCGGGTCATGTGGCCAGCATGACTAAGCCGCTTCTGGCGAACCAGAGCAGCGTACGGAAACGCCGTTTACCGCCGGAGTGGTACCTATTTATCTACTTGCACTTTGACGTGCTTTCGAACTGCTAGGTTGGCAGGAGCAGGGACCGAGCAATGGGAGCTCACCCCGTTGCAGGGATTTGAACCGCCGACCTTTTGATTGGCAAGCCCTAGGCTCTGTGGTTTAACCCACAGCGCCACCTGTGTCCCGTTTGAAATGGGAGATGTGAAGAATAATAATAATATGCACCCAATGTTCTTGCAGCATTAAGTGTGCCTGGGTTTGGCCCCCATTTACTTTGCAGATCAACCATCATGACGCTGGTGTCTTCCAAGTGTTTTGCATCACAGTTCCCATCAGTCCCAGCCAGCATGTCCAATGATAAAGGAAGGTGAGAGCTGTTGTCAAATATTAGCTCAAGGGCACCAGGCATTTTTGTTAATATAAATTCTCCGCAGTATATTTGTAATGGGTATGAGTTACTCGTGCGTAAACTGGTGCCTCTCTAGGCTAATTTGCCTTGTTAAAGCTTTCTGACTGCACAGCCCTTTCTCATCGTGGCTGCCTCAGTCGCTGGCAGAATCCGTCAGTGGGCGTTTCTTGAACCTCTTCCAACGTAAAAGTTGTTTGACACCCAAGTCTCCTCCTCCTCTCACTGCGCGGGAGTCTTCTGCACAGGGAGGGTGTGGGTAGCGGAGGACCTGTCCCCTCCTCACTGAGGTCCAGTGAAGAGTCCTGGAGCCCTCTCTCCGATTCCCCCATCTGCCCCCCTTTATCCCTGGTGTTGCGCTGATTTGCTTCCCCCTCTACTGAGCTGTTTCTCCCCCTGCTGCTGGGTCCTTCGCCAGCATCATCTAGGAGCCTCCCCTTCACCTCTCGCTCCGATGTCAGTTCCCTGACAATATTTTTTGAAAAAAGAAAGAGTAAGTTGTATGAACATTTAAGGTAACATTTTCAGACAATTGCTAAGAATAAGCATAAAGGTTTCAAAGTAGCTTAAAATAAGTTGGCTGTACCCCAGTGAGTCTTCTTGGCCACATGCTACAGTTTTCTGGGACTTGTGGTACAAGCAAAGCACTGGACTCTGAATCCCCTTTCATCTCTCATTCTTTTAAAGATTCCACAGCAGGAAACTAGGTGGTTTTGACCTAACAGATGTTTGGTATCTTTGCTGAACACAGTTTGTTCCAGTATTTTCTTCTTTGGGTTTCAGAAAGGGGGGAGGGAGGGGAGAGCTAACAATTTTTGATGGTACATAACATACCCAGCTAGCTGGCTAGATACAGATATATTGTAAGCAATAGAGACTCTGATACATCCTGGATATAAAATATTACTCTCTCTCATTTTGGTGATCACTCGTAGCCGAGTAAGATTGTCTTCCATAAACACGGTTTTAATAATGAGTCCGTAAGTGACTGTGGAGGCCAATTCTGGATCCACATGTCCTTCCACAGTGGGGACATTGGTTTCTGGGTGGGAGTTGATCACAGTGTGGATTTGCCAAGCGTGCCTTCCTCTTAGCATGTTTCTCCCTTGTGTCCTGAGTTTGAGTGTCTTCAAAGCCCATGACACCTTTGGTAAAGGCTGTTCTCCAACTGGAGCGCTCGCAGGCCAGTGTTTCCCAGTTGTCAGTGTTTATACTACATTCTTAAAGATTTTCCTTGAGACAGTCTTGAAGCCTATTTTGTTGACCACCAGCATTACGCTTTCCATTTTTAAGTTCGGAATAGAATAGTTGCTTTGGAAGACGATCACCAGGCATCCGCACAACATGACCAGTCCAATGAAGTTGATGTTGAAGAATCATTGCTTCAACACTCGTGATCTTTGCTTCTTCCAGTACACCGACATTAGTTCACCTGTCTTCCCAAGTGATGTGTAAAATTTTTCGGAGACACCGTTGATGGAATCTTTTGAGGAGTTGGTGATGGTCCATGTTTCACAAGCGCACAGTAAGGTTGGTAATACAATAGCTTTGTAAACAAGCATTTTGGTTTCCCTGCGAATGTCCTGGTCCTCAAACACTCTGCACTTCAATAGGGAGAAAGCCACACTCGCAGAGCTCAGGCGATGCTGGATTTCGGCATCAATGTTGGCGCTTGTGGAAAGATAACTGCCTAGGTAGGAGAAGTGATTGACATTTTCCAACATTACACCATTGAGTTGGATTTGTGGCGCTGCAGAGGGGTTATTTTGTACCTATTGGTGCAGCACTTCGGTTTTTTGAATGTTGAGTGATAGGTCAAGCTTTCTGTAAACTTCTGCAAAGATATTTAGGATGGTTTGGAGGTCATCCTCTGAGCGTGCTCACACTACATTGTCATCAGCATACTGAAGCTCTATGACGGAAGTTTTGGTAACCTTACTCTTTGCTTTCAGCCTGCTCAGATTGAAGAGCTTTCCATCTGTTCGACATATGATTTCTACTCTGGTGGGGAGTTTCCCTTCGACAAAGTGTAGGATCATGACAATGAAAATAATAGAGTTGGGGCAATAACACAACCTTATTTAACACCAGATCCCACTGTGAATGGTTCACTTTGAGAGCCATTGTTATCTGCAGTTGTTGCTGTCATATTATCATGGAGGAGCCAAATGATGTTTACAAATTATCTGGGCAGCCAATTTTCAGAAGGACCGTCCATAGGACATTACGATTTATAGTGTCAAAAGCCTTAGTCAGGTCGATAAATGCCATATACAGGGGTTGGTTTTGCTCTCTCCATTTTTTCTGAAGCTGTTGAGCGGTGAAAGTCATGTCCGCTGTCCCCCTAGAAAGCAAGGGTGAAACAAAGATGGACAAGATCCATAGAGAACTGGTCTTGTTGGTTGCTTACAACAATAACCCTATTCAGAAGTCATACCCAGGGTGAGTGATGAGAGGATCTTTGCATGTTCAGTGTAATAGTGTGTTCCGTGTGTGTTTGAACTTGAGTAGAACACCCTGTACTTTATCAGTGTCCCCAACAGTGCTCACATTCCTTCTTTCTGATTGCTTAGCAACAGTGATTTAGGGACCAAACATCCTGAGCAGCAGTAGAGCAGCAGTAGTGACCCCATGCCTGCCTAATAAACCTTGGAACATTCCTTCCACAGTTTGCTTTCTAACTTTCATTATATATGTGCGATTGATTTACTTATTTTTAAAATGAAAGCTCAAAGTCCAGCCCTCCTGTTGAAGCGAAGGGGGCAGGAATGAATGTAAAGATGAACCAAACATTGTCCTACTCCAAAATAACTTACCGTATTTTTTGCACCATAACACTCACTTTTTTCCTCCTAGAAAGTAAGGGGAAATGTCTGTGCGTGTTATGGAGCGAATGCCTGCGGGTGGCGGGGGGAATCTGCTGCAGTCGTGAGCAGAGGATCCATGGTTCCCCTTCCTTCCCTCCTCCGTGGTTACAAAGCATGGATCCACATGGATCCTCAGGATTTTTGCATTGGGCTACTCCAAACTCACTGTCAGATCACATGTCTGTGGCCACAGCATGAACCACAAAAATCATATATCCACTATTTCGTTTAGAATATTTTTTTCCTTGTTTTCCTCCTCTAAAAACTACGTGCGTGTTATGGTCTGGTGCGTGTTATAGAGCGAAAAATACGGTAATTTACCTTTAGGCAGGTAGCTGTGTTGGTCTGACGCAGTCAAAATATATAAAAAAAATAAAAAAATTGTCCAGTAGCATCTTAGAGACCAACTAATTTTGTTCTTGGTATAAGCTTTCATGTGCATGCACACTTCTTCAGATACCTGAAGAATCTTCGGTATCTGAATAATTTATTATTAATATTATTATTATTATTATTATTTACTGACCCACAAATTTACTCCAGGACAGAAGTCTGAGCACATCTGCATATTAATGTACACACATTGGAACCCCTGCTTTTGACTTGTAACCCAGCTTTCCAAAGCAGACATTCAGGAGAAGGTGCAAAGGGGCTTCCTCCCATCCCAGCCTACATTAATTCACCCTGGCTATTTAAATAGAACTACTAGAACTCTACAGAGAAACTTTTCTAATCCAGCCATTTTGCAGAAGGTTTGGGACATTTTTGCATGATGTGAGTCTGAGGACCTGAGATTACAATGGCAGAGGGCTTGTGATTTTAGTATGCTTTGGTTATAATTATTGTTATTATAAATTCATTTATAGTCTGCCATTCTGAGCACTGCCCACACAAAGTGGTTTACATATCATAAAAGCACAATGCAGTGTGCAATGCAAAACTGAAAGCTGGACGATTTCTAAGGCGGCGGTGCAAATGTTACTTAAGAACAATTAAAGGGCAATTAAAAGCAGGATAATTTAGATTTGTTTTGCAAAGAATAAAATGCACATACTGAACTTTCTACATGTTACAGGCAATTTAAAAAAAATCATTAAAAATTGAACACCTGTGTTGAAAAGATTCAGCAGTACAGTTTTTCTATTAGGGCTGTCAACTGATGAAATCCTTTTAACTGATTAGCCATCTGTTAGTGAATTATTAACTTTATGTAAGTTTGTATAAACACAGAGAAATGGGTATACATAGACAGGTGAAAGCCAGTATTTTAAGTATAGTTTTATGAGTTTTTGGGTGCCGGACTCCTCTAAATTCTTGCCTCTAGGAAGTTTTAGAGTTTAATCAAGACTTGGGGTGTTAAACTGGGTACCAGACACTTAGTCCCTGGATTCAGAAAGTATTCAGAGAACAAAGGGGCCATTTAGAAAGCAAGAGAGAGGGCTATGGACCAGATGACAAATGGGTGGGGCCGCTCCTCCAGTTCTTAGAGAGTGAGAAGGACAAAAGCCAGGGTTTAATGCTGAAAGGATGTGTCATGTGTCCTAGATGTAAAGGCCTAGGTTGTGCTTGATTAATAAGCAAAACCAATTTTTTTTAAAAAAAGTAATTTTTATTTGATTTTACAAGTGTAAAGTTATAACAATACCAAATACATGTTCATGTTCAGAGATTTCTCCAGACTTCCCACCATCCCCTCCATGGGTCCTATTGTCAAAATTTTCAACTGCATAATATTTCATCATCCATGTGATGCGTTTTCTGTTCCGAGACTTTCTGAGCTCTTCCCGACCTTGGGGAGGGCAGTGGAGGAATGCTGCCCAACAACTGTGAATCTGTTAACTCTCTCTTCCAGTGTTTCTTCTTCTAGCTGTTCCCCATCCAGTATTTCCCAGCTTCTGCCTTCTGAACTATGCCCCTCTGCAAACCATTGTTCCAAATCTATACTGTCCTCCTGCTCCTGGGAAGACTCAGGAGCAGGAACAGGAGAGGGGATGGCTCCCACCATTCCTCCTCAGTGCAGCGCTCCTCAGCACGGTCCCTGACAGTCAGTAGAGCATGATACTCATAATCTCAGGGTTGTGTGTTCAAGCCCCATGTTGGGTAAAAGATTCTTGCATTGCATGGGGTGGGATTGGTTGAACCTCATGCTCCCTTCCAACCCTACAATTCTATGATTCTAAGGCCTTATTTTTACGTGAATATGTATATAGAACCACTCCAGTCTTAGTCCTGACCAATGCTGGTTAGATATTCCTGATCATCTTGATAATGGGGGGGGGGATCAACAGCTCCCCATTCTTTTTTCCCTCCTCTGTTGGAATAACTTGGTCATTGGAACAGGAGCCTCAAAATTTCAGGGTCGTGGGTTCAAGACCTACGTTGGGGAAAAGGTTCCTGCATTGCAGGGGGTTGGACTAGATGACCCTTGGGATCCCTTCCAACTCTACAATTTTTTTATTCTGTTCTACCTTTGCTCTTTGCTATGAGTCACTGGAGAATAAACTCAGCAAGTTTATTTTTACCGTCTTAAATCTCTGTCTGCCTCTGTGTGTGTACATCCAAAAGGGTATATGTTTGTGTGAAGGAGGAAACACAAAAATAACATGGAAAAGACAAGCAAACCCTAACAAGGGCCATCACCTGGAAGCCAGGACTTGGCAAACTTGAAAAAATGTGCCTAGAATTGTCTCAGGGATACTTATTTTCCTTCCGAGACTGTCTTGCTGTTAGCGTGAATATCAAATGCAACGCCAAAAGCATTTTCATGTGCGTTTAGTTTCAGCTTGATTAACACAGGGCAGGTGAATTGTTCATTTTCTTCATTAGCACATTTTACAAATGTATCGTTATAATTATTATTTCTATGCTTAATTTATTAATTGCCCTTCTAAACCACTGTCTCAAGGCGACTTACACATACTATAATTAAAAAGAGTTTAAAACAATTAAAACGGAGAGATTTAAACACAGCTTCTGGAACCACCAGAAAAACCCTTCCCCCACCCACCCACAATTTAGCTTAACACAGTGTAGATAAATCCGTCATTTTCTTCATTAGCACATTTTATAAATGTGCGCAAAGTGATCTCAATACAGCTGGGAGTGGAGATAAGTTCTTAGTTGCCACCAGGAAAAAAAATCCCTTCCTCCATGATTTATCTTGATCATTGTTTTCTGTTGCCACCAGAAAACCCCTCTTGCCTATCCTTGATTTAGCTTGATTAACACATTTTCTTCATTAGCACATTTTATAAATGCATGGCGGGATGGGGGGGGGGAGGGGGAGTACGATCCAGCTGGAAGCAGAGCTAAGTTCTTGGCTGCCAGCAGAAAATCCTCTCCTTCCCTTCTCTCAGCATTGCATCAGTCTAGCAATCTAGTTGCTTATTTATTTTTGAAATCATGTGTATCTCACCTTGAAGGACCGAAATCATTCTAAGGTGTCTTACAAGTCAACTCAAAATGCAATAATAACTTTTCAAAATGTCTAATTCTCTACACATGTTGTTTGGGTGGAGATGGCAACACAGGGGCAAGATCTCACATTGCTGCCTGCCTCTCTCTGCCCCTGGAGGTCCATGTGTCCCAACAGCAGACGATGACGTCAAGTGGAGGATTTGGAAAGTATTGGTGGGTATCAAGCGCTGGACTGAGGAGATGGTGGGAGCCACCCCCCTTTCCCTCAACCTTCCTAAGGGCAGGAAGACAGTATTGATTTAGAGCAGTGGTTTGCAGAGGGGCATAGTCCAGAAGGGAAAAGCTGGGAAATACTGGGTGAGGAACAGCTAGAAGAAGAAACACCAGGAGAGAGACAGCTGGCAGATTCAGTGCCCTTGGACAGCATTCCTAACCCCCCTTCGCCTAAGACTAGACGGGCTTTGAGAGTGATAGAACAGAGAGCACAGCGGCAACAAGCTCAGATTACCCGACGTAGGAGTGACGTAGATTAATGGGGATGGAGGGGGTAAACCTTTACTGGGAGCAACACCATTTCTAGAGAGATATGCATTCCTTTGTTTCTCACTGTGATTATTAAAGAAACTAACTGGTAAGAATGCTCCTTTCGTTTGATCTGCTTATTTACTGCCACCAGGGGAGGGATCTGATCCCCCAAAGCCTGACAGTGGGCAACTTCCAAGTCTGCCCCTGCTCTCCATTCTCACAGCACATTATTAGACGTATCAAGGATTGCACTGCTCAGGGGTTTGCTGACAATTCAGGTAGTGATTCAGGAAATCTTGCCAGGACAAAGACAGGCAATGGACACCATCTAGCACAGCCTTCTGCAAGCTGGCGACCTCCCAATGTATTGGACTACAACTCCCATCAGCCCTGACTAGGTTAAAGTTTCCAGCAAGAGGAAAGCTCATCTAGCGGGAAGTTTTCCTGCACAAAGTAGCAGATTATGCCCAAAGCCTTTTGAGATGCATTGCCTGTTCTGATTTCTGGCCTTGAGCTAATCAGCACAAATGTACGGTAGGTACAATTGGCAAGCCATTTTAACGAGGCAAACTCTGGCAATTGATATAAATAGATCTCAGTATTTGGAAATAGTTCCCCCCCCCCCATCATGAAGATACACTCCATTATGCAGTGCATGACACACACCCAACATCATTGTCTGCAGAAGGCACAGTATAACAGACCTATGAATTTCTTTCAGTTTCAGAGTTAGAGGTTATTTGTAACAGCACAAGTAGAGAGAGCAGCTTTATTCAGAAAGAGTGTGTTGTGGGGGGAGGTTTGGCCAGCCAAGGATGCTACCCCAAATTTTGTCATGAGAGTAGTAGTGGTGTGATCATGAAAACAACTGGGACAAAATTGCCATGGTTTTGTGATTTAATGGGATCACAAGCAGAAGTTTTTTCCGGCAGCAAATAACACAGAAATGAGCACTAGGCTTCCGCTATATCCTGATAGACTTCCAGAAGTCACTTACAAAAATACAAACACTATTAAATTTAAAAATTAATAATTATCAAACACTGAGAATTGTCTTTCAGGACAAATACAAGTAGCAGTGTTATGTTCTGTATGCAGTGATCCATATGGCATTAAAGAAGGCTTGGAAAATCTTTTACGACATTACAGATTAAGCTCACATCCACAGGGTATGCTTTGATCTACAGCATTGAGAAGCGACTTTTGCATTGTGTAAAAGATAAAACAAAATCAGCAGTTTGAGAAACGTTGGGAAGATGGAATAAAACTGCCGTAATTTTAAAACATACAGAAAGTAACAGAAAGTTAAAACCACAATTATTGTTGATTAGTCATTTAGTTGTGTCCGAATCTTCGTGACCCCATGGACCAGAGCACGCCAGGCACTCCTGTCTTCCACTGCTTCCCGCAGTTTGGTCAAACTCATGCTGGTAGCTTTGAGAACACTATCCAACCATCTCGTCCTCTGTCGTCCCCTTCTCCAATAGGACAGACTAAAATAAATTAAAACTCACACAAACTTTATAAACCTTTGAGTAAGGTAAAGGTAAAGGGGCCCCTGACCATTAGGTCCAGTCGTGACCGACTCTGGGGTTGCGGCGCTCATCTCGCTTTACTGGCCAAGGGAGCTGGCGTACAGTTCTGGGTCATGTGGCCAGCATGACTAAGCCACTTCTGGCGAACCAGAGCAACGCACGGAAATGCCATTTACCTTCCCACCAGAGTGGTACCTATTTATCTACTTGCACTTTAATGTGCTTTCGAACTGCTAGGTTGGCAGGAGCAGGGACCGAGCAACAGGAGCTCACCCCGTCGCGGGGATTCGAACCGCCGACTATCTGATCGGCAAGTCCTAGGCTCTGTGGTTTAATCCACAGCACCACCCGAGTCCCCAAACCTTTGAGTAGGCTTGTCTAAATGAGAATGTCTTCAGCAGGTGCCAAAAAGAATACAGTTAAGGTATCTGCCTGGCATCAATAAGCTGGGAGTTCAAAAGCGCCATTGCTGCCGTGCTAAACAATGTAGTGCCCCTTAAAAAAAGTAATGTGTAGTTTTGCTCAGAGATACATGCAGATTACCATGAAGCTAATGGCACCCATTCCTTCTGGGTATTGTGAGTATAGATAAGAAAATCCTGTGTGCTGTGGAGTGGGAAGATACTACATCTTTGGGGCAGATACTTTGACTGGCATTTGATTTATTCTTCATTTTGTTTAAAGCTTTTGACTTTTCCTTAAAAACATTAATTTCATGTCTTCATAATTACATACAGTGGTACCTCAGGTTAAGTACTTAATTCGTTCCGGAGGTCCGTTCTTAACTTGAAACTGTTTTTAACCTGAAGCACCACTTTAGCTAATGGGGCCTCCTGCTGCTGCCGCGCCGCCAGAGCACGATTTCTGTTCTCATCCTGAAGCAAAGTTCTTAACCTGAAGCACTATTTCTGGGTTAGCGGAGTCTGTAACCTGAAGCGTATGTAACCTGAGGTACCACTGTATTATCCATTCCCTGTCCTGGATTTCCCAACACTGAAAAGAGATATAAGAAGTTACCAGGTTCCTCTTATTTTTGCTTTCTTTAAGCCTCCCTTCCTCCTCAAATACAGCTGTTATTTTAACCATATTTAACTGGTTGCATACCTTCTTAATTAGATCTAATTTATTGGGATCTGATATTTTCTGTATGCCTTTGTGCAAATTTTTCTAGCTGGAGTGATCATATCTACAGCTTGACCTCGTTAGCTTACTCTGAGGTTCTTTATTTACCTGCCAGCACCTCTTTGATCCTGCCATAACTTCCTTGCTATATTTGACCACTGCAAGAAGATCCACCCGCTTTTGAAAGCTGGGGATTTATAAACATCTGTTCTGGACTCACCCAGCCTAGTGTGCAAGAGCATGTCTTCCTTTTGGTTCGGCATCAAGCAGGAGAGAGAGAGAGAGAGAGAGAGAGAGAGAGAGAGAACCCCATTTCATCTAATCCCATTGATTAAGTACTTTGATTCAGCAGATAAGAGATTGCTAAGTAAAGTTTGCATTCTAGCCGACGCATCAATCAAAACAGCATGTTCTGCAGAGAACTGCTTGGCTTAACAGCGTTTCAGCATGCCTATTATAGTAATTATTCTGAGCATCATTTTTATGACGCACAGAAAGGCAATTTTAAGTACTGTATTGTGCCCCGCTCCCCAGTCTGTAGGTCGTCCCCCACTTCCCGGCACCACACGCTTGCTGGTCTGCATAGCAACTAAGCTGGGAGGTAGAACTGGCAAACTTCTGCACTATAGAAACGGAAGATAGTTTGATTATGCTGTGTGTACACACACATATGCACACATATAATACATTATGCAAATTGGGTTTAAATTATGCAATCTACATTATGCTGTCTAAATTATGCAGAAATTCTGCTATTTCCCCCAACTGATGTAAGGAAGATGTGTAAACAGTCTATATTAGAGCAGAACATTGCATTTAGATAATTACAGTGATCATATGCACCACAGATAGGTGCTTTGGGCAAATATATTTGTTTATGTTTTGGCACTAAAGCTGAAAATTGGAAATGCTGTAAAATGGAAATGCTTTTTTAAAAAAAACAAAACAAACCACACACCCCAAGAAACAGCAAGTTGAATTCTGTGTACAAAATAAATGAAATGAATCAATACAATATATGCATGTTTGGGGCATAACTGTTATTGCCATTTTATTTTGAATACTCTGAAAATTGGGTAATACTTTATACTGGAAAGCTGGAGAGCACACTCCTTACATTGCTTAGCTGAGAAAAGTCTCAGGAAGCCTTGCTTAATTTGCTTCTGCCTTTGCCAATGATAAAGGACGCAGGTGGCGCTGTGGGTTAAACCACAGAGCCTAGGACTTGCCAATCAGAAGGTTGGCAGTTCGAATCCCTGCGACGGGGTGAGCTCCCGTTGCTCAGTCCCTGCTCCTGCCAACCTAGCAGTTCGAAAGCACACCAAACAATGCAAGTAGATAAATAGGTACCGCTCTGGCGGGAAGGTAAACAGCGTTTCCGTGCGCTGCTCTGGTTATCCAGAAGCAGCTTAGTCATGCTGGCCACATGACCCAGAAGCTGTACGCCAGCTCCCTCAGCCAATAAAGTGAGATGAGCGCCGCAACCCCAGAGTCGGCCACGACTGGACCTAATGGTCAGGGGTCCCTTTACCTTTACCTTGCCAATGATGCAAGTAGGCATGTTGAGATCAAGCTTTAGCTGTATCATACTATTTGACGCTGTAGGTAGGTTTTGATGCTGTATTAGATTGTATGCTTTATTTGGTGGACAGGCCACTTTGCAACGTAATAACCATGCAACACAAGAACTTTAAAACTGTTATTTCTGTATAACTCATATCAAAAGCCACAGTGTCAAACCATTTAATAAATTACTGCAATCGCTGTCCCCTCATTCCAAAGCCTGCTGTGGAAGAGGTGTGTCTTTTACCTGTTTCCTAAAACCACAATAGATTTGAGAAGCAAATTAATACTGTAAGTAGTTGTTAGCTGGGAAGCAATTCCTTGCATGTAGAAACAAAGCATGTCAGGGTGATTCAGCCTAGACTTCTCCTACATGTCTTACTTCAACGTATAGGGAAGTGTGTGGGGTGTGCATGCATGCTGAACATTCAAACATTCAAGCAGTCCCCCCACCTTGTAGCCTGAAGTAGTAGTTGTTGTTTAGTCGTTTAGTCATGCCCGACTCTTCATGACCCCATGGACCAGAGCATGCCAGGCACTCCTGTCTTCCACTGCCTCCCGCAGTTTGGTCAAACTCATGTGAGTAGCTTCGAGAACACTGTCCAACCATCTTGTCCTCTGTCGTCATCTTCTGCTTGTGCCCTCTATCTTTCCCAACATCAGGGTCTTTTCCAGGGAGTCTTCTCTTCTTATGAGGTGGCCAAACTATTGGAGCCTCAGCTTCAGGATCTGTCCTTCCAGTGAGCACTCAGGGCTGATTTCCTTAAGAATGGATAGGTTTGATCTTCTTGCAGTCTATGGGACTCTCAAGAGTCTCCTCCCGCACCATAATTCAAAAGCATCCATTCTTCAGCGATCAGCCTTCTTTATGGTCAGCCTAAATTAGTACACTGCAGTAACTATACCTTTAATTATCCTAAAGATATAAACTGGTCCTTCATAACATAGCAGCCTTGCACATCTGCATGTGAGAGGGAGACCTTCAGAAAGCTCACTCTGACAACTCAAGAACTCATTGTCTACACCAGTTTGGGCCAGGTATCCTCTCGTATATACCTGCCTGGGCCTTCAGATTATTACCACCAGAGATCCTTTTTAGGTTCCCCACTTAAAGAGATGAAATTGGAGGTTACTAAGGACCTGATACCTACATAAACATCTTTTTGGCACCTGGTGAAGACCTTTGTATTTTCAGTCTTTTTGCAGTCATCGTCATCATCATCCCTCCGGCTGGGATTTAAATGCTGTTATGCTGCTTGTTCTGGTTTTTAGAAACTCTCATCTTTGTGGCTCCCATTTTTGTTGCATAAGGAATTAAAATGCCTACAAAGTCTCTCTTCCCTTCTTTTCTGGCAACAAGCCATTTTGCTAATTGTGCTACTGGCACGCGCTAATTAGCCGTAACTCATATTTTGTAAGAACTGTTTAGAAATTTTTTTGAAGCACTCGTTGTGGGGGGAGATTTATGTCTGTACCAGCATATATTTGTTAGCATGCAGATGCTGCAAACACGCTCCAAGGGGTGCATCACGAGTTGGAGCAAGAGACAATTTGCAGCCCGGAGTCTTAGTCTGCCCTTCCCCTTTATATAGCTCCTAAACTGGGCTATCCCATGCAATAGGTCAGGGATGGGGAGCCTTTTTCAGTCTGAGGGGGCCATTTTTCTTTCTGTGCAACCTGCCAAGGGCTGCATGCCAGAGGTGGGCAGGGCAGAGGCAAAAGTCAGCAAAACCAGAAGCAAAAGTGGTGGAGCAACATATGTAAAGTTGGCTACCTTCCTTCCATGCAAAAGCCATTATCTTCTACACACAACCCACATGCTCATCTCTCCATTGCCCAGGAAGAGGTACCAACACAGTTCAACAGTACATTCGAGCCAAGCAGAAGCACTCGCAGGATGTCTCTTCTGTTGAAATGCAAGAGCAAGCATGGCTCAATGCCTCTCCATATTGTAGCCGTGTGTTACAATATTGGCCGAGTTCTTCATATGATCTTAACCTTAATTGGCCTTGATCTTCTTTTACTAATTGCTGATATCTGACCCATTTGCCTTCTGTGTTTTTCTTTTTAACAGATAATACCTCTAATGGTGATATCCACCATGGTGTTTTGGGCTCTAACAATCTCCGGTGTCTTTGCCTGGGCATGAACATTAAGGCACCGTGCAGTGCCCAGCTTGATATGTCACACACTGCAGCTGCTGAGGTATATTTTGAAGCATAGAGAACACACTTAAGGCAAATTCAGGTCCCCCCACCCCCCGCCCCGGGTATCTTTAGGCAAAAGAACAAGCAGCCTCTGCCAGCATTTAAATCCATGGGGGACAGGTTATTGCAGAGTAAACAAACATATACTATATAGAGGAGAGTCAGGTAGGGGGCTCTGCCAGTGGTCCTTTGTGTTAGGACTGGGGACTGGGTGGCTGAGTGGGTACAGAGTGGGGTTCTAAATTGGGCAGCATCCCGCACCCAACTGCAGCTTACAGATCAAGTGGAAGGGAAGCCCAGGCTTGAAGGAATCGATGCATAAATTAGTGTGGTCAAACTTTCCTGCTCCAATAATAATTTATTTTTTATATCCTGCCCATCTGGCTGAGTTTCCCCAGCCACTCTGGGTGGCTCCCAGTATTAAAACATGCCGTGTTGATCAGGTCCAACATGGTTTCTTTAAACTAAAATTTGAAGCAAGCTTGCAGTTTAAACTATGCCCACTTAAGAAAGGCAGTCTGTGGCTGTTGTGGCCAATTTTAAACACAAACCCCTTAAACATTTCTAAAATGACAGAGACAGAAGGAACAGACTCACATACACTTAACAGACAACACACATAACAGACAATGTGTAACATGTAAACATATATATTTCCATCCTTTAGTTGGTTATTGTAAGGAGTTGGCTCGCTTCCTGTTTGTTTCATTAAGTGAAGTTAGTTGGAAGGTCCCACATGAAGGGAATAGCCATAGCTTTCGTACTAATGGCAGTTTGTAAAGGTAGTTATGAAGGTGCAGGAGAAGCCATATAGCACGGACAGCTCTGTCCTCCAACAGAAGGGTATGCCCCTCCCCCCCAGGAGAAGCACCACTGCCCCTCACTGGAATCTGCAGCCTGAGGCAGTGGCAGCAAACTGCCTAATGCTAGGGCTGGTAGGTTTCTGGTGGTTGTTTTTTTAAAGGGCAGAATATGAAACTCCAGCATAGATTCGGGATTTTTTTTTTTTTTACAGTCTTAATAAAACCTATTACACAAGCAGCGGGTGAAAGTAACATTGAAAAAGTCTGCAGGGAGTCTAAAAATATACATCCAAGTCCGCCTTGCACTGAGGAAGGACTGTACGGATTGTACTGGGGGAAAATTATAGTGGAAAAATAAGCCAGCGATCCAGAAGGTTTCTTTCGCTGATGAGCTCCGGTAATTGGCATGAAGACTGCTTTTTCTTTTCTTTTTTCGTCCAGCAATCGTGTTAGTACTGTGAAGCACTGTACTTCAAAGAAAGGTTTCTCCCCATTATAAAAATCTATTAAGTATTGTTGTTGTTACAGATAACATCAATCAAGAGACTGCTCAGGGCTGAGAGGGAACACTTTGATTTCAACTTCCTTTTACTAGAAAGTGTTGCCCTCACTCACTTAATGCTGTGTGCTACAAAGACCTTTAACAGGGACCGTCTGGAAATTTCATCATCTTCTTTTCTAATACAAGTGATTCTTTTTCTTAAATTGCTTTTATTAGTAGACGTGCCAGGATTATTCCGAATGCAAATGATGATGGGGACGTTGTTGCATAGCAAAGATGCTGTCTCTCATGCTCAGTCGTGTGAAAGTGCTCAAGGAATTCTGCTTTATGGAGGAAATTGCAGGTGGGGGCGGAAATCAAGCCCCCAGGTTTTGCCCAGCAATGTAGGCTACTTTAGACATGTTTCACCTGAGCATGCTGGTCACTAATTAAATTGTGTGTTGATCTCCTTCTTTGCATGGAATCCTATTCACTTTTCTCACAAGAGCTGCTAGACCATTTAGTTGGCAGGTTAATCTACTGAAGGTTAGGTTGATTAATAATTTGTGCTGTAAGTTAAGGGCTTGCTTGGTTATTTTTGTGGCTGTTTTGGCTCTGGGGTGTTGCGTGCTTGATGGGAGGATCTGCTGGCAGTCACATTTTTGGGGATCTGACTTAGTTTCACAGGGCTAGAAGCGTGAAGAATGATCAATGAAAGCAACCCCAAGAGTGAAGGCCCAATGGATTTGGGTAATGTAGTCCAAACAAGGCAGAAGGTCATGAAGGATGAAGGTCAAGTTGCAGAATCATCAGCTGAAAAAAACCCCACACAGTTTAGATGCAAGTAAACTCATCCAAGGCAGGAAGCAATATGGCGGAAGGGAACAGGAACAAATCTAGATAGGGGTACCAGGTTGAGTCAAGTGGTGAAAATGGAAGATAAAACTCAGAGAGTGATGTGTGTTTCAGCCAGACTGGTCCATTGAGCCACATGAAGATGGGTGACGGGGATTGCATTGCAATCCAAATGATACCTTTGAGCAGGAATAGCCAACATAGGATAGCCAGATGTTGCTGGACCACAACTCCCATCATCCCTGACAATGAGCCATGCTGACTGGGGCTGCTGGGATTTGGAGTCCAGCAACATTTGGAGGGGAACACGCTGGGTACTCAGCCTTTGAGGAGCACAGTTCAGTATACGAGGCAAGTGCCGGTGGACTCCATAAATTGTGTGTTGTGCAAATAAGTTATTTTGCCTGTCCCAAACCTTCTGCCACTTGGTTTCATTCCCCCCCTCTGTATTCAAGTATTAGATTATGAAAGACAGAGAGAAAATTAGCTCCATCCATTAGCATCCAACTCCAGCTTTGTTCATGATCATAGCACAACACACCCAATATTTTAACATCTGCCTTTGTGCTGAATATTGGTTTCCAAATATCTTTATCTTTGCATAGCCATTGCAGACCAATTCATCCTGGAAAGAGTTCTTTTTAAAAAAGAAAAAAAGCTGGTTTCCTGTACTTGAAGAATGAGTTTTTAAAAGCTGTGCAGTCAATATGGGCAACCCTGAGCAGATTAACTGCCTGGCAATGGATCTCTCTGCCTATATATATGTGACTTGGGAGAAAGAATTAGCTAATAACCACTGATTTATTTTTGTTTTGATGATACGACGCAAACATTTTACGCTGGGTAAATAGATTTATTTAAACCAGGGCTTGCATTTGACTGATGGCTTCTTTAATAGAAATACCATTTGCATCACAAAAAGGTCTCCGATGCAATATATCCTTCCTAAGTGCTCACAAGAGGTGGGAAGGGGGAAATTGAAGCATGTGCAAATGGTATCTCCCCCTGCCCGGCCCCACCAAAAACAATGCCATTGTGTATTTTCATATTGCAATAAAACAACTTTAGCTGTACCTCCTCAAGCTTGAACAAGAAAATCCTGTGGCCAGGTACTGGTTCCTTACACCCCGACAGTACCAGTTGTGGAAGGGAACTTCAACCCAGTTCGTGCCAAGATGAGAACAGCTTGTTCTGCAGGGAGCAGAGAGCTCAGCCTGACTACAGTGGTACCTCGGGTTACATACGCTTCAGGTTACATATGCTTCAGGTTACACTCTCCGCTAACCCAGAAATAGTGCTTCAGGTTAAGAACTTTGCTTCAGGATGAGAACAGAAATCGTGCTCCGGCAGCAGCGGGAGGCCCCATTAGCTAAAGTGGTGCTTCAGGTTAAGCACAGTTTCAGGTTAAGAACGGACCTCTGGAACGAATTAAGTACTTAACCCGAGGTACCACTGTACTAGCAAAGAACAGCAGGTGGATGTTGCTTCAGCAACAGCCAGGCTTAGACCGAGCCCTTTATAGGAGCAGCGATTGTCCTGTGTTCACCTACACTGAAAGATTCCTCCTCAGTAAAAGGAGACCAGGTCCTTCCAGGCGTCTTTTACTCAGATGGAGCAGGGCAGACCCGGGGAGAAATTCAGTAGCATGCACAGTGCAAGCGTTTGAGCTTGCCAGACAGATTGTTCCCCCCATTCCTCCCTTCATTTGGGGGGGGTAGCATGGGGGGGTCAAACAGAAGGGAAAAGGCTGTTGCACAAGTGGAAGTCATTGCACATGGCTTCCACTGACAGCACTCATTATCCTGCCCTCTGATCTCACCGGAGCACCTGAAATTTAGTCCTCTGAGCCAGCGGATGACATTAGGACAACCTCTAGGCCAGAGCATGGACACAGCCAGGATTTTTGTTGGGGGGAGGACTTGGTTGTGGGGAGGGGAGGACTTTGGTGTGTGGAGGGGGAAGAATCGATGTGATTGGTCAGTTAGTTAAGTATTTCTATTGTTTTACTTGATCTAGAGGGGGCCACTGCCCCCCACCCATCCCCCATTGGCTATGCCCATGGGCCAGAGTGGCACCGCTGCCCCATCTTGTGGAAGTCCAGCTGGGATTGGGGCTAAACTTCTAAAGGAGTGGGGGAGAGTGGTCTCTGCCTAACTCTTGCCCCTTAACTTGGTTTTTTTTTGGGGGGGGGAGGTGGTAGGTTTTTGTAGGCTCTAACTCTGTACCCATTAAATGCAGCAGGATTTCACATTTGAGTGGAAATGCAGACAATCGGGTTGCAAACCTTTTCAAGGCGATGGTGGAAACGGTTCATTAATTAATTTTGCAGAGAAGCAGGGATTGCTTTAAACTTCAAAGGGGAAGTCTTTGCAGACCGAAGACTGCCATTTCAAACAGGACCTGCAAAACAGAAAGGGGCTTACTTTAGAGTAAGTGAGCTCTCCCACTGCAGTTCAGAAATGCATGTCCATCCTTGCATTGCCGTGAGGACACAACATCATGAGATTGCAGTGAAGAAAGCACGTTTTACTAGGTGTGGGCACAGAACTCCACAATCAGCTCATGATGAAAAGCAACATCTCATATGATGTAGTAATTGGGTTAGATCAGGGTTGGGGAGCTGTCATCATTGCTGGTCATTGCCCGTTCTGTCCAGAACAGATGGAAATTCAAATCCAGGAACATTTGGAGAGCAACAGCTTCCAGATCCCTGGTTTCAACATAGAAACTAGTTATTTACTTTTTATCAACACAGACATTTCTCCTAACAGGGGACCTCTTTTCAGTGACTAAGGCAAGAATAGATTGACAGAAGACAGTATTTGCACATGAATGAACAGACCTGGGTTTGCAAAACATAATGATTGTGGGTGTAAGAAAATCTCAGATCATCAGATAATTAACTGAGAGAATAGTGAAGTCTGCCAGATTATTTTCCACCCAGGCACAAATATATTTAACTTTATGTGCTTACATGGTTGCCTTTGTAGTAAGATCTGAGTGAGAACGCTTGCAGGAAACATCGAAGATTGGTATTTTTTAATTTTTTTTAAAAAAGAGAACTTTTTAGCAGGAACTATTTCAACGGCGGCTTAAACACTGGTGAAATTTGTTGTCACAAAGAGCGAGTGCCGGTTCATACATGCACGCTCTTAGCTAGCCAGCATTTGATGATTCACCATAATATGTCTAATCCAACTCCAATAAAAGACACTCTATTTGAGGTGATGTGAAATGATATCTGTGGCATTTTGATTTATGATGGCAAATCCACCGCTCAGTGCTTCAGTCATTATATGACAAACATTCGTGAGTGAATCAGCCCTCAAAAACATTCTGAGGTCTGGATAAAATAGAGTTCTTCTGCAAGTGGAATTAGGAACATAGGAATCTGCTTCATTCCTATGTCAAGCCATTGCTCAGTATCTCCCCATCTATCTGTAGTCCTCAAAGGACATACAGATGTTCTAAAGGTAGGAGACTTGGGTGGGGTGGAGTGGTCAGCTGGTTTAACCCTTTCTTTGCTATTTTTCTGCACGGAATCTTATCTTCCTCGTCCCCTTTACTGGTTTTCTTCCAAAGAGTTCCAAGTTACGGGTCCTCCCCTTCCCCACCCCCCACAGTGCGAAAACCAGATAGTTCTGGGATTGCCACTAGCATAATTTTTTTTTTATTTACCATTTACTATTAGGTTTATATACCTCCCTTCATCAGAAGATCTCGGGGCGGTTCACGAGATAAAAACACAAGATAAAAACACAAATAAGTAATTAAAACAAAAACAGCAAAACAATGAGACTTCCCTCCCTTCCTCCCCCTGCATGCCCCCCCCCAGGCCATCTGTAGATCTGCCCTGGAGGATTGGGAGAACACCCAGAATAGATTTCAGGGTGGGGAGAACATTCTGTTGTGCAAGGATAGCCTTAGGCTTAGCACTGCATTGAATGCAACCCTTTCTCTTGAAAAGCACTCTAGCCACTCAGATTCCTTTTAAGGATTGGACTGGAAGCATCACTGCAAAGAGCTGAGAACATAAAAAGAGCTGTGCTGGATCAGGCCAAAGGCCTATTTAGTCGCAGGAGATCAGGACCATGGTCAGCACATTTGGGGGGCAAGGTTCCAACTCCAGGGGAAACATGGCTCTCAGGCGTCACAAACTTGGAATTCCGCTTCAGCAATTATCTGGAGCAAACCAGAGAGGGCTGCTGTTTGCAACTCCACTCCCAAGGAGAATCCTATCAGGGCTGACAGGGGCCGTGCCTTATTGCTTAGGCTTGGACAGTGATGGGACTAGGGAGCCTTCTGCTGCCTCTGGGATTTCCTGCTTCACTGGCAGGTTTTCTGAGGGGTTGCTCAGAGTTCTAGAAGAGGGAAGTGCTACATCCTCAGGCTGTGAAAGAAAGAAAATGCACTACTGTTTCCTGGGGGATGCCTTCCCATGGGTATCTTGTGAGACAGGTAGATTTGAAGCTATCCATCTCCTGTAACAAACCTCCCTATCCTCTGTCAGATTCATCCTCTATGGCACTGGGGTATAATGTTTTTCATCCTTTAAACAGCAATATTTTGTACCTGAAACAAAAAAGATCCCTATGTATATGCATGCTTGTGTATTGGGTGGTGCCGCCGTCCTTGAATTTTTGGGGGAGCTGTAGGGAATCTGGTGGCAGAAGTGTCCCAAGACTCTTTTGGATAAAACCCGTGATGTCCTTTATGATGAGCTGAACTTGTTGCCTCCATGCTCACACTGTTCTGTAGTCTTTTGAAGTTTCATTTTATATAATGTTACTGGTCTTTTTGTATTATCACTCAAAGCCTTCTTAGAATCACCTTCATTTACAGCTATTGGTTTTTGAATGTTATGCACTCTTCTCTTGCCCTGGAAACTGACATATCCTTTGCTCCTCCGAGGATGCGTGGAATAGAAATGTGATAGACCTGCCAATAAGTCAGTTGATTCATCCATCCAAATCCAAAGGAATAGTGCAGTTTCATCGTCATCTGGGAGGGTCCAGTTGCATCATAGTGGTGCTCTTATAATTCTAGGGTTCTCATCCTATGAGTCCATAATGACAACCATTCCCATGCCATCCTTCTGTCTATCTGGCACGTTGCCCCATCATTTGAACAGTGTCTGCACAATGTTACAGTTTGTGCTGCTGCAAGGACACAGTGATGGTGATGATCCAAATTGAGTGAACATTTGGGTCAGGGTTGGGGAAGCTTATACCCAGGGACTGAATATGGCCTCACCATCCAGCCCTCCTAACTCTCCTCAGGCTACACATCTCAGTGGCTTGTCTTCATGGAGAATAGAGAAGGGTGCATGAGTGTGTGTCAAAACTAGCCTGCTGCAAATTTACAGTGGTACCTTGGGTTAAATACGCTTCAGGTTACATATGCTTCAGGTTACAGACTCCGCTAACCCAGAAATAGTGCTTCAGGTTAAGAACTTTGCTTCAGGATGAGAACAGAAATCTTGCTCCAGCGGCACGGCAGCAGCAGGAGGCCCCATTAGCTAAAGTGGTGCTTCAGGTTAAGAACAGTTTCAGGTTAAGTACGGACCTCCAGAACGAATTAAGTACTTAACCCGAGGTACCACTGTACATTTGTGGCTTTGCCTGTTTTTACCTCTGGCCCCGCCACAGATGTCAGGATTAGGCGTTAGGACTAAGCCCTCTCTCATATAATTTAAACAGGTGTTGGAGTCATATATTTTGGCCTGATATCAGCTGGAGTTATTCCTCATTGTCAGCCTTCAAGACTAACGGTGTGTTTCCTTCAAGACTAATAATTGCTACTCATACACATCGAGGACTTGCAGAATGAAAACCAAACAATTGCCAGTGCCGAGTCATATTCTGTGCCAGAAGCACGACTCGGCAGGGACTCAGCACACCACTGACTGAGCCTGAAAAGTTAAGTTATTTCCCCCTCCCAGGTAACAATATGCTTTGACCTCCAAACACTCAACATAGTACAAACACAGCTATCCCTTTCATTGACTCTGCAAGGTGCAAACTAATGCTATCAGAACACCAGCGCAAGTGTGAAGCAATCAGGTGCCTTCTGAAAAGAACATATTTTGTGATTCTCTTGCTACACAGGTAGCCCATTTGGATACTACTAGCGACATCTTTCCAATGCTAAAATAACTGATATTAAAACAGTTAGAGAGGAAATAAGTGATTTGTGTTGTAATTTGAGCTCTGGAATATTTTCATGCAACCCTGAGTATCAGTCTTCAAATCTTGCTTTAAAAAAAAAAAAATGCAAATGTGTTGTTTTGTGTTATTTTTAGGCTCTCATGACTCATTTAGCTTCTACATTGATGAAGCCTCACCCGTCGGACCTGAACAACCTGACACCGTCCAGAATTTTGTCTCTGTGTTTGGAACTGTGGCTAAGAAGCTGATGAGGAAATGGTTGGCGACGCAGACGATGAACTTCACAAGCCAGCTTGGAGCAGGCATACGGTATTTTGATCTTAGAATCTCCACCAAGCCCAGAGACCCCGACAATGAACTCTACTTTGCTCACGGTTTGTTCAGTGCCAAAGTCAATGAGGGCCTCGAGGAGATCAGTGCCTTTCTTGCTGACCACCACAAGGAAGTGGTCTTTTTGGACTTCAACCATTTCTACGGGATGCAAATGTGCCACCATGAAAAACTGGTCCAAATGCTCAAAGACACTTTTGGGAATAAAATGTGCCCGGCTATATTTGCTCACGAAGTCTGTCTCCAGTATCTGTGGGAGAAGGATTATCAAGTGCTGGTGTTTTATCACAGTCCAGTGGCTTTGGAGGTTTCCTTCTTGTGGCCAGGGCAGATGATGCCAGCTCCGTGGGCCAACACAACAGATCCTGAAAAACTGATCCAGTTTCTCCAGGCATCCATCATTGAGAAGAGGAAGAAGGGCTCCTTTTTTATATCTCAGGTGGTGCTGACCCCAAAGGCTAGCACTGTGGTCAAAGGCGTCACTAGTGGTCTCAGAGAAACCATCACAGAAAGGTGAGTGCCTTACAAATCCAGGTGTGCTTGGATATATGGCCTAGGATATACGTACCTACGGGCCGCCTCTCCTGGTACGCCCCACGGAGAACCTTACAGTCTGCAGATAATAACACCTTGGAGATCCCGGTCCTCAGAGAGATTAGGCTGGCCTCGACCAGGGCCAGGGCCTTTTCGGCCTTGACCCCAGCCTGGTGGAACGCTCTGCCACAAGAGATTTGACATCTTTCCACAGGGCCTGCAAGACTGAATTGTTCCGCCAGGCCTTTCGTCAGGGCTCAGCCTGACTCCCCTTTTCTTTTTGTATAAGAACTAATATGAAAGAGGTCTCCCAGCATTCTCACAGGCCCATATAAGATCAGTGTAAACAGTTGGGCCGATGAGCCATCTAATTAGACTTTAATTTGATTTTAACCTGTTTTTAGGAGATAATTTAATTATTGTTTGATTTTATACCAATGTTATATATCTGATGTTAGCCTCCCTGAGCCCAACTTTGGCCGGGGAGGGTGGGATATAAATAAGATTCTTATTCTTATTATTATTCTTATTATTACATGGAAGTAAGAGCCTATTAGAGTTGTCTTCTCATATTCATTTATGATGGTCAACAAATGTTGAAATATTACAAAGGAAGCAGAAACAACAATTGTTACTGTTACTTGTGGACGGGAGCAATTGGCCAGAAATCAGATAATGACTGTTTCCCTCTTTTTTGGTCCGTATTTGTAAACATGCATGCTTATTATCTACAGGTGATGGGTTTAAGTATTGATTAATGTCCTTTATGCAGCTTGGGTCTGGGTCTGAAGATTAGGTGTGACCACCATGCAGAGAGGAAGGAATGGGTGAGCCAGATGTAAATATGTAGGGATAGATTTGCATTACACCCAACTTTGTGATCCTTTCTGAAATGAGAAAGGGAAGTGGGGACTGAGCATAAAAAACCAAACCAAACCAAACCAAACCAAACCAAACCAAACCAAACCAAACCAAACCAAACCAAACCAAACCAAACAAAACAAAACACAGTGTTCTCTTGCACCAAGGCAGAGCTAATCCATGACATTTTCTTGCCTGAAGTTGAGATGGGGAAGAATACCAATTTATTTCCAAAAACAATTCTTCCCAATAGTTTTTATTCCTGTATTAAGTTGCAAGTCACAATAAAATGATGTGAGCTAAAGGGCGTCCTACTCCAGAAATTTATATTGTTTATATTATATATCACGTCAGTAGCTTTCACCCAAAGAATCCTGGGAAATGTAGTTTGGTGAGGATGTTGAAATTTCTCTGTTAGAGCTCCCTAGCCCTTGACACAGAACTACAATTCGCAGAGTTCCCCACAGAGAAGGAATCATTATTAAACTGATTTATTTTCTAAGTGTAGATGCATCTCAAGGGATGCTTCTTACCACATGCTTCACTTCTGTCAAAGGGGATTTATTTTCAAAACACTTTTCTTGTTTTCTTTTTCTTTGTTTTAGGAGTAATTAATTTTTCCCTCGAAACAATTCACTTCAAGGACTACTTTGAACCTGATTATTCAAGTAGTGCAAAACCCATCTCTGCATCTTCTGTTGGGAAAATACCTTGAAATATATTTCCATTCATACAAAGGTTGTCGGAGGGATTAGTTTTTTCTTACCATGGGGGATTAGTTTTCTTCTTTGCTCTTTCCCTCTTGAAATATTATTCAAAGAAAATAGGGCAATGATCAAAGTTCAGCTGCCTAGCTTGGGTTGGAAAACATCTAAGCCTTAGAGGGTTTCATTGTATCACTTAATTGTATGTTTTCAGTCTGAAATTTGATCTTACTGCTAATGCGTGCATTACAAATCCTAATGAATATTTGTGTAATGGTTATCTGAAGACCTGGACTTGCTTTGGAGTAACTGATACTTCAGGTTTTAACTCTCTCCACCCCCACTACCCCTTTCTCCCCCTCCCCCCCATTCCCCAAAAGCTGTAAATTTGAGTCCAGTTAAATACATTTAAACATAAAAACATTGGGACGCGGGTGGCGCTGTGGGTTAAACCACAGAGCCTAGGGCTTGCCGATCAGAAGGTCGGTGGTTCGAATCCCCGCGACTGGGTGAGCTCCCATTGTCCGGTCCCTGCTGCTGCCAACCTAGCAGTTCGAAAGCACGTCAAAGTGCAAGTAGATAAATAGGTACCACTCCGGCGGGAAGGTAAATGGCGTTTCCGTGCGCTGCTCTGGTTCACCAGAAGCGGCTTAGTCATGCTGGCCACATGGCCTGGAAGCTGTACGCCGGCTCCCTTGGCCAATAAAGCGAGATGAGCGCCGCAACCCCAGAGTCAGCCACGACTGGACCTAATGGTCAGGGGTCCCTTTACCTTTAAAAACATATCTCAACCCTTTCTGTTCACCTATGGTTTTTTTTTTTTTTTTTTTACATTTAAAGAAAAAGTGAAAGCTGGCGTGTCCCCTTCTCCCCTGTTCGGTAGAATGAATATATTCATGGGTTTATATTGCTTTATGTGTTTATAATGAGCACCTTTATAAAAAAAAATATATCTTTTAAACTAATATTGTGTTGCAGATGGAAATGACTCTTCTAAGATGTTGTCTGCTATGAAACACAGCATGCACTATCTAACAAAGGAACGATAATAATAATAATAATAATAATAATAATAATAATAATTTATTTATACAATGCTTCCCCCCGCCCCCACCTTTTAAAATAGGGGTGGGGAATCAGTGGATTTCAACTCTCATCGGCCTCAAATAATGGAAGTTGTCTTCCAGTCATATCTGGAAGCTCCAGGTTCCATAACCCATTCTAAATTACTGTTAAAAGCATGCATAAATTTGTGCAGATACAATTAAACAATGGATGCATTGATTAAAATGCATACAATTAATCAGCTCCAATTTCCTTAATTGGGTGATCTGTCTCATATATGTTTATATGTACCGTATTTTTTGCTCTATAAGACTCACTTTTTCCCTCCTAAAAAGTAAGGGGAAATGTGTGTGCGTCTTATGGAGCGAATGCAGGCTGCACAGCTATCACAGAAGCCAGAACAGCAAGAGAGATTGCTGCTTTCACTGCGCAGTGATCCCTCTTGCTGTTCTGGCTTCTGAGATTCAGAATATTTTTTTTCTTGTTTTCCTCCTCCAAAAACTAGGTGCGTCTTGTGGTCTGGTGCGTCTTACAGAGCGAAAAATACGGTATGTGTGTGTGTGTGTGTGTGTGTGTGTGTGTGTGTATGTATATGTGTATTTGTGTGTATATATATATATATATATATATATATATATGTATATGTGTATATGTGTATACGTGTATATGTAGAGACGCGGGTGCCGCTGTGGGTTAAACCACAGAGCCTAGGGCTTGCTGATCAGAAGGTCGGCAGTTCAAATCCCCATGACGGGGTGAGCTCCCGTTGCTCAGTCCCAGCTCCTGCCAACCTAGCAGTTCGAAAGCACGTCAAAATGCAAGTAGATAAATAGGTACCGCTCTGGCGGGAAGGTAAACGGCGTTTCCGTGCGCTGCTCTGGTTCGCCAGAAGCGGCTTAGTCATGCTGGCCACATGACCCAGAAGCTGTATGCCGGCTACCTCAGCCAATAAAGCGAGATGAGCGCCACAACCCCAGAGTCAGCCACGACTGGACCTAATGGTCAGGGGTCCCTTTACCTTTATATGTATATGTGTGTGTATATATATATATGTGTGTGTGTGTGTGTGTGTGTGTGTGTGTGTGTGTTTATATGTATGTGTATATACGTATACACACACAAACACACTTTTGAAGAAAGGTACATATTCCGACCCTAACCCTCCAAATGTTAATTCTTTGGGAGGAGATGTTCCACTGGAGGCTGGAAATATATGCAGCCAGCCATAAGGTCTTTGAAGACTGATGAGTTCACTGATGTGGCGCATGAGTGCATGCCCACAACAAAGCAGCTTGTGCTGATGCCGTGCATTGACGCACAAACACCGTCTCACCTGCCACAAAGCTATTTCTCTAATGCAGACGGGAATTACAAGGGCGCAGTTCATCTGTCCTCCTCAGAATGAAAAATGGCTCTGCTCTCCTCCCCAGCCCCCTTCCCTCGGGCAACACAGCAAATGTACAATAAGGCAATGCCGTTGTAATCCAGATAAAAGCGAAAGGAGTCTGCAGGCCTCCCCTAAAACACAGTTCAATAGCAAATACGTCATGTCTGCTTCTGGCTGATAATGTTCACTGAAGAACTCTGCTGCTTGATACCAGAGGCAGCTAGTCCCTGGTGTCTAAAAGAAGGTGGGGCATGTAATAATGTCAGGTTCCTCGAAGCTCTTTTCTGAATTCACAACTCCAACCTGGATTACTGTTGTATCCAGTAGCGGTTGGCATGGTGGGTAAATGGGAAGACTCGGGTGGGCACTTGCCTGTTATTTTGTCATTTTCAGTTTTCTTAAGAAACATGGAAGGCTCGCGGCAACATCAGACTTCGCATGTTCTCCTGTACAGGGTGTACATGCCAAGCTTCTTTGACTAGCAGGCAGCTTGTGCCAAATTCATCATGATCCTGCTGTTCTTTCCCCTCCCTTTCCATCCTGTTCTTTGCCTTTCTTCTCCCTTTTACAAATTCAACATTGGCTGGAACCAGAGGCTGGAATGATAAACAGCAGTCAGTTGTGTGTTCAGCTTTTCCATTCTAAAGGGGATCTGATGGGGCCATTATTGAAAATAAAAGCTGCTAGTAGTTCTTACGCTCTTGATTCGTTTGAATGGATCCTCCTTAAATCTAACCTACAAAGTTTCTCTCTCTCTCTCACACACACAAACACCCTAAAACTCCCAGGGGCAAGATGGAGTTCCAGGTACATTGAGGCCCTCACTCTGTAATGTTTCGTAATCTGAGATGAGCATTGGTCAACGCCCCTCCCCTTCCCCAGTCTGGTGGAGCTGTTGATGAATGCTGGTTCTGTCAAAAGGAAGCCATCTGTCATCTAATGAATGAGGGAGCTCTGACCTGCTGCGCAGAACCGAGACCTGGCCAAATGAGCTGGCCTGGCTTCACCTATGTACCTCCTATAGGTACATAGCTGTGCCTGCCTGGGAAGTCAACACAGCTCCAACCAAGTCAGAAGGGTGAGCCTAGGGGGCTGAACTCAGAAGGAAAACCCCCATTCTGAAAGGCATGAAAAAATCGAAAGCACTTACTTGTTTCCACAGATTTTCCTGGACATTACTGGGATTTCAAAGGTGGAATTGACGTCCAGGGGTGTGTGGGTGTGTGGGGGGGGGTAGATTTCCGACAGGTGGCGCTTTCTCCTGGATCTTATTTTTTTCAGCAATTTGGTTTTTTTGGGTTTCTCAGATTGAAATTTTGCAATCACCTACAACACACAACATACAACACACAACAAGAAATCTCTTGGACTCCCCCCCTACCCTTTGTGGGTCCCACAGTTAATCATTTCCTCCTGCATCTTTTATAACAATCGACATCTTTATCTCTCCATTGTATTCACCATTAAACTACAAGTGATATTCCAATCCTACTAACGATTTTAACTGTTTACAGTCACCTTTAGGATAAATTATAAATTTCCCCCATTGCTTTCTACTGGATCTTAGGCAAGTCAATCGAAAAATTGTGTTAATTTGGCTTTTTTTTTTTTTGTAAACTCAACTTTGGAGATGTCCTGGTTTTCACTTTTCAGAATATGGCAGCCCTACCATGGGTTTTCCCAGCTCTCAACTTCAGTCTTCAGGACACTGCTCCAAATGCCTCCCGGATATGTTGGAGCCTTCTTACAAGAACAGGCAGAGATGATCTCTCTCCAGAGGTATCTGCTCTCTGGCCCAGATTTTCTAACTTTTGTATGCACTGGTTTTTATCTTCAAAGGTTCTTACATTTCTTTGTGTTAGCTGCTCCAGGGTACGGCTGTATTTTTAGAGTTGGCGACGAGGATTAAGTAATGATGGCTCTGACTGAGCCAGTGAGTTAAAGGAACTTAGAGTTGTTCCACTTGGCCACAAAGCCCCCACTAACCTTCTAGGGTTTTGGGTGCTGGGGATAAAATGAAGAGAATTCCACACTAGCTATCTATCCTGAGTTGCTTGGAGCAGAGGCAGGAATTAAATGTGAAGTATCAGGAGTCATCACCATTGTGGAAGCAGTTGGGAATAGCTCTAGGTCAGCAGTAGTGTGGCTGGGAGTGCCACTAAGATTTTGCCTGGCCCAAACCTTGACAAAAAAAAGTGGGGTTTTGAGGAGTAATTTGCAAGAATTGAGAGATGGCATGGATTATGGAGTCAAAATCTCCAACAGGGATGGGCGAATCTTGTGAATGTTGGTTTCCTTCATCTTTACACTTTTATAAATGTAAGTTCACTTTTCCACATTTTCACATCATTTTGTGATTTAAAAAACAACAACAGTGCAATCTAGGTATGGTCACACATATACACCATACATTTAAAGTGCTTTAAGCAGTCTCAGCTTCTCCCAAAGGATTATGGGAGCTGTGGTTTGTTAAGGGTGTTGATAATTGTTAGGAGACCCCTATACCCCCCCAGCTACAGTTTCCTGAATGGTTTAGTAATTAATTACCAGGGAACTCTGGGAATTGTGTCTCTTTGAGGGGAGTAGGGGCCTCCTAACAGCTCTCAGCACCCTTAACAAACTACAGTTCCCAGAATCCTGTGGGGGTAGCCATGAAAGTTTAACGTGGGGGTCATAGTGCTTTATATGTATGCTGTGAATGTTGGCCTATATCTACTCAGAAGTCCCAATGAGTTTTATGAGCCTTAGCCTCAGCTAACTGTGTTTCAGCTTCACAACCCAAGTCTATTGCAAGAAAAACAACAGAGATTCCTGTAGCGCCTGGAAGCAGACTTCGCAAACCTAGTGCCCTCCAGGTTCAAAATGTTCAAAGCAGGAGAGCTCATCTGCTAGACCTATTCCTAATAAGAGACCACCACTCTGTGCCCTAATTCCAGACCATTCAACTCCTTTAACTCAGACTCTCCAAGTGTCCCTATTTTCCAGGGACCGTCCTGGATTTACAGAGGTCATCCCCATTTCTGATTATTTCCTGGAATGTACCACTTTTTCTTAGGATGTCCCTATTGTCATTGGAGAAATGTTGGAGGGTATGTTAACTGGCTTTCCCAGTAGTGATGTTTTCCCAATAGTGATGTATGGAAGTGAGAGCTGGACCATAAAGAAGGCTGATCGCCGAAGAATTGATTATGGTACTGGAGGAGACTCTTGAGGGTTCCATGGACTGCAAGAAGATCAAACGTATCCATTCTTAAGGAAATCAGCCCTGAGTGCTCACTGGAAGGACAGATCGTGAAGCTAAGGCTCCAATACTTTGGCCACCTCATGAGAAGAGAAGACTCCCTGGAAAAGACCCTGATGTTGGGAAAGATGGAGGGCACAAGGAGAAGGGGACGACAGAGGACGAGATGGTTGGACAGTGTTCTCGAAGCTACTAACGTGAGTTTGACCAAACTGCGGGAGGCAGTGGAAGACAGGAGGGCTTGGCGTCCTCTGGTCCATGGGGTCACGAAGAGTCGGACACAACTAAACAACAACAACATGTTAACTGGCAAACTGCAACTGCTTCTTCCCCAACTTCCTGTCTCTCTGCAGACTCCTCCTGCCTCTTACCTTAACACATTCCATCCTCTCAGCAACTCCCCTGTTCCATCCAGTCTCACACCAGAGCACAGTTCATGACCACATACATCCCACCCACCATGACAGCAGTCATTTTGTTAGCAAATCAATAAAAAGCAGGCAAGACAGAGACTCACATTTTGCCTCACTGCATTTGCCTCTCAGTAGTTCATGAAATATCTCTGGAGCCAGTGATTCACTTCTCATTTTCTTCCCTGTGATAATTATTATAATACCTCATTGAGGATTTGTGAGGCTAAATTCATTAATGTTTGCAAAGCACTTTCCATGATTCTTCACGGCTGGAAAAAGATGCAGACTTCATTTTGAGCAGTAGGATAAAACACAGTGATTTCATTATTATTATTATTATTATTATTATTATTATTATTATTACAGGCGGTGATGTTTTTGTTCCTTTAAGAGCCATTATTCCGATTTGATTGTACTTTCCTTGCAAGGGGAAAAGGCGGGCAAATTCAGTGTTAGGCCTTGTGCATTCCCACTTGACTGTCGGAAGTCAGATTTTATAGCGAAAGAAATAAAAGGGGGTCTAGGAGGAGTTTGTAATGGAGATAGGATAACTTTGGGCTTGGGAAGAGACATTACGCTTGGGCCGAAACAGATGCACAAACTGCTATAATGACGCTTCCCCCAGACTTCATGATTTGAGCTGGTAAAAGAATGACATATCCTTCAGCATTTCTCTGATGAAAATGGGGCGTCCTATCCCATAATAATAATAATTTTATTATTTATACCGCGCCCATCTGACTGGCTTGCCCCAGCCATTCTGGGCAGCTTCCAACATATATAAAAACATTAAACATTTTTAAAAAACTTCTCTATGCATGACTGCCTTCAGATGTCTTCCAAAGGTTGTACAGTGGTACCTCGGGTTTCATACGCTTCAGGTTACAGACTCTGCTAATCCAAAAATATTACCTCGGGTTAAGAACTTTGCTTCAGGATGAGAACAGAAATCAGGCGGCGGCAGCATGGCGGGAGTGGGAGGCCCCATTAGCTAAAGTGGTGCTTCAGGTTATGAACAGTTTCAGGTTAAGAACGGACCTCCAGAACGAATTAAGTTCTTAACCCGAGGTACCACTGTATAGTTATACTTATCTCCTTGGCTTGGGGTTGCATAGCTCCATACCCTCCAATATTTCTCTGAAGAAATTACGGACGTCCTAAGGAAAATCAGGACATTCTAGGATCAAATCAGAAACCAGGATGTTATTTGGTAAATCCAGGGCCGTTCCTGAAAAACAGGGACACTTGGAGGGTCTGGAATGAACAAGGAAGACGCGGCTGTAAAGATGGGTTTACAGTGACCGAAGGATGGAGCACACAATGGGCTTTGACCTTTGGGGAGATTTTAAAATTGTAGAGCCATCTAAATTAGAGTTCTGGTAGCTAAGCAACTGTCATGTAGAATATATTACTGCTTGATAAAGTGGCTTTAAGGACTGAAGCAAAACTGATTGGTGATGAGCAGTTTGGAGCCTTGGAGATCTGCCAGGTCCATCCTTTGTTTACTGAGCTTCATCAGAGAGGAGTGTTTCGCCTCAAGAGCTTTAAGACAATTGCAGTAATGCATGGTGTGAAGAATTAAACGCCCAAGACCAACACAATCTGGAATCCACCTATAAATTCACAACAGCTCCCTAATGTGGGATTGCCACAATGGGTTCCTTATTTTCAAAGGCTGCCTCTTTTTTGCTAGTTATACCTTACTTTGGGGGGGGGGGGCAGGAATCACTGTTGGCGTTAATTTCATGGGGGAGCTATGTTCATGATCTCCATCTGGACACTTTTGATTGGACTGCCTATTTGCTACATTAGAACCTTTTAGATATGATTGCTAAGAGAATCACTTATGGTGTCTCAATCATGTATTTTACTTTGTAGCTGCTGTGGCATAACAATAATTATTTTGCTGTACAATGTAGGAATGTGTCCTTCCAGAGATCACAAAGATTAATCTAACCCAGGTCATTCCCATTTCTAGCTGTCTTGAAGAAAAGCTGCGCTGATTATACTTTTCAGTGTTATTTTTCAGCTGCAATGGGGTGCAAGCATGTATTAAATCTAGCCATTTTTTACTAAGCATTATTATCAGACATTTCCTCAAGATGTTTTTAAGGGAGCAGAGAGATCTATGCTCTTATCCAACTTCCCAAGTTTACAAATGCTATAGTATCTATAAATGAAAGGTGCAAAATGGAAGCAGGGCAGCAGATTGCGTTAGCAGTATTTTATATATTTAGTCAGGTCAGTTTTGCCATGAGGAGAAAATCTGATTTGTTGAGTTTGTTTCTTTTGTGTGCTAAATAGTACCAGCTTTCAGCCTGCGAGGCTGGGTTCATGCAAAATTGTTGCCAGGTTGATGGTGACTTTTTACAAGATAAAAACTTTCTGACTGATGGGAGTTCAAGTCAGAAACACATGGAGGGCACCAGGTTGGGGCAAGGGTGTGCTAAAAAGGTGTCCTGCCCAGGGGAACCTATTTTTCCAAGTATCTAAGGATACCAGCATGTCTAAGCATAATTAGAAAAGAGCTGTTTTAATCCATTGGCTCTAGCAAAAACAAGCTAGCTAGATTTTACCCAGTGGCAATGGCCCAACAAAGAAACTTAAGGTGTCTCAAGGGATTTCTTCATTGCTTCAAGACTGGTTCTTACATTGCAAAGAGCCAGATTTATAGCACTGAAGAAATGCCTTGAGCCACCTTAAGGTTTTTTTGCTGCACCATTGTCCCTGGGTAAAATCTAGGCTACCTTGGCTCTCCCTTTCTCCATTCATGTCACTTGTCTCATCATTTGTCCCCCTGCTGTTTCTTTATGTAGCTCTTGATTGCTCAGTGACACGTATGCCTTGGTCCCTGAGCTAGCTAGTTTCACTTTCCTGGATTCTCACATCAGTGCTCCATTTCACAGCTGCATGGTTAACCATGTCACTTTGGCTCCTACTCTTGGTTACACTCGCTGAATATTCCACCGGGGAAATGCATTCAACAGCGCTGGGATGTATCAATTCATTACCGACTCCCGCTGCAGAGAAAATGCTACCTGTTCGATGTGGTTTTATTTAAGGAGATACCGGTAACATATGCTGTGTACAGGAAGGGCAGATCAGGGCTATTGTAATTGCCTGGAGTTGAATTACCTCCAGCCGTGTTCTTGTCAGATATCATAAGCGGAGACAGAGGGTAAGCCTGGTCAGTATTTTCTTGGGTAATCTCTAGTGAATACACAACTGCCACGGGCATTGGTGCTGGAAATTCAGCATCAACAAACAGCCTTTGTGTTGGGGTATGAGCTGTAAGGAATCTTGTGTTGCATAGGTAGGTCACATACACTTGTGCAAGGATCATACACTTGCCTTTATGTTCCCTTATATATTAGAAAAGTGGGGAAATGTGCAATCAAGGTGCTGTTACAAAAGCTGGGTGTCATACCTGCAAGATTCTAGGGGGGTCCAGGCACTTGCCCAGGGTCTGTGTTCCTTTGGAGAACCAAGACTTCAGAGACCGTTGTATCTTTAAGAAATATGGTATATTCACCTATTTAGACCTTCAGTCTCCATGGAGGGAGTCCAGGTCTTACTAAATGGTCATTTCAAGAGGAGCTTGTCCCCCACAGCAGTGCAGCTATGGAGCCCAAGGCATCTCTCCTAGCTAGCCTTCAGCCAGCCTGCCCAAGATGGATCCCAGTCTTTCTTCTTCCTCCTCCTTCACAGAACACCCTGCTAAAAACTCTCTTTTCCTGTCACCTTGCACCCAGTTATCCTTGCAACCTTCCAGACTCCAGTCTCTGTTCACACCTCAGGGCACTGGGGAAAGGACAGTTCCCTTGCATTGTCAGTGGCTCTCAATGGCCCTCGCTTGGCCAGGTCATTTTGCATAAGCTGACTTAGGGATTCATCCGCAGCTTGTATTTCTCCCTTCGCATCCCAAATAATCAAAATCCTACCATTTATTAATTTCTAGGGTTGGTGGGGGGGGTCCCCCCCTAATCTATAACATACCTTTAAAGTTGGAGTGGGCAAATTTGATGAACATTTCCTCATGATTGGCAAGGAAAAATGGGGGCATGGAGGGCTAGGAGACAAATTCAATTCAGTCCACATTTAAATTATTAATTAATTAAGGTCATATTCCGCTCTTCATCAGAAGATCACAGGGTGGTTTACAGCATAAAAATAGAAAATGAAAACACAAGATACATATAATAAGAACAACAACAACAAAAACCCAACAATAACCCCCCTCCCGCAAACACATTTAAAAGGCCATAGCATGTTCAATCAGCGAAATGCCTGGTTGTAGAGGAAGGTTTCTGTCTGGTGCCTAAAGATATGTAGTCAAGGCGCCAGGCAAGCCTCCCTGTGGAGAGCATTCCACAAACAGAGCAGGAAAGTTGTTGTTCTCATGTTGTCAACCTCTGGACCAGGGGTCAGCAACCTAAGGCCCATGGGCCACAAGCGGCCCATGGGGGTCATTTAACCTGCCCATGGACCCCACCGCCTGCTCAGTCAGCTCCCATGTGCCGTGCTAAACCGGCACAGAGCAGAGTGGGGACCGCCTTCTGCGACACTGGCCGGCTTCCCATTGGCTGCAGGAAGCTCCTGCAGCCAATGGGAAGCTGCGCACGCCTCCTCCGCACTGGAAGGAGGACCGGAAATAGTGTTTGCGCATGCACACTCCGGCCCACCGCAGCGTCTGCAGGACCATGAACCGGCCCAAGCCACAAAAACTTTGCCAACTCCTGCTCTGGACCGTTTGTGGAGGGGGCGCTGAAGAAGGGCCTCAGATCATGAGTCCAGGTTGGTTTAAAGGCAAATCTTCATAACCCCCCATTATACCACTGGCTTGCCTTTTCCCTAAACTAAAAAGTCCCAGATGCTGCAACCTTTATGTGGGGCTTAGAGGAAAAATAAATGCCACCTTCATTAAATCATCCTCTGAATATTCCCTGAATATGAATAGCGTATAATGCTTGTTGCAACCTCTTACAATGGATGAATTATCTATCAGCAAGGCAGTTAAATAACTTTTTTAATAAGTCTAGGTAGCAGTGTCAAATGACCTCCGTCCCGAGGCCCACGGTGCTTGCTGGCTCTTGTCTGCATCTACCGAACCACATCAGCCCAATAAATTGACAGAAATTACCGTAATTGCTCCACATGGAATTCTAGGACTTGCTGGCCTTGAATATAGTCAGCCAGCAAGGAGGCTTTTGATGCGATCTCTCTACTATAGCAGAGGCCAGTTCAAAGGATCCAATTAAAAGAGGGGCTGAGACTCCATATGGGAGAGGAAGGCGAATTCCTCAGCCGGCAAATATAAATGGTGGGAAGGGTATCTGTAGCAGGAGTGCAGGGTTTTTCACAACGGCATGCAAATGCAATGTCGCCTCCAACGCCTCTCCCTCACGCCTGTGGGAGTTTGAACAGAGGGTTTATCTTGTCACCAAAGAAGGTCGATGGGAATAGACACCACAGTCAGGCCCTCTGTGGTCTCCCGTGAGACTGGCTGACTGTAACAGAAGGTATGCCTTGGCAGCCCATCTGTCTGGGAAACACAACAGACCTCGATGACTAGGCAGCTAGCCATCCTTCGTTAAACCTTTGGTATGTTTTGAAGCTTCCTGCAAAAGCCAACCATTTCCCTCGTGCGTAACTAGACGTCCTCCTGGCCTGGACCCTTCCAGCGGCACTACCGCTCGTCTAAATGTTCAGCTGTCGTTAAAATTAACAACATTAATAATACGACTCTTCTTTAGTCATGGAGAAATGAGAACACAGGCCAGTTACTGTAAGACAGGGGCAGGGAACACTTTCCTGCTTGGGGGCTGCAAAATTGTGGGCACAAGCCAGGGGTAGGTGGGGCAGGAGCTAAAAGTGGATGTGGTTTCAACCCACACATACATCTTCATCCTGCATCCAAGCAGCAGGAGCCGTGATCACAGGTCAAAGGCACATTCCAGCCTGTAAAAAGCTCTTCAGGGGGGTCTGGAGCAGAGTCGGTGATAGGTGCGTCCTGAGAAGGGGTGTGGTCTGGGGAGGGCATGGCCTAGAGAGAATCCTGAGGGACATTTTGGTCCCTGGGCCTGAAGTTCATCAGCCCTGCTCTAAGAACTGCTTTGGTCGCGCTGTGTGATGAAATCTGTTGGGGAGAGACAAGGGAAATGTGTCCCTGTGTGGAGCCAGTGGGGTATAGTGGTTAAGAGCGGTGGACTCGTAATCTGGTGAACTGGGTTCGATTCCCCGCTCCTCCACATTCAGCTGCTGGGTGACCTTGGGCCAGTCACACTTCTCTGAAGTCTCTCAGCCTCACTCACCTCACAGAGTGTTGTGGGGGAGGAAGGGAAAGGAGATAATAATAATAATAATAATTTATTACGGCCGTAGGCCCATACAGATAAAAACAAGACATAAATAACAGCCTGTGCACATGGGAAAAAAACAGCCGCTAAAACACTACTATAACAATAAGCTACTATAAGATGGAATGGCATACTACGCCTTAATTAGCTTGTGGTGCTCCTTGGCGACGCTTTTGGGTAAGGACAGCGACCAGGAACCTAGCCACTTTCAGGGTCGTATGGGCATCCTTATCCTGCAAGATTTGGGCAAGGTGGAATTTTGGTGGAGTACCCTCTAATTTCTGTATGATTGATCCCAACAAGTTTGCCCGTGGCACCTTAAATAAGGGGCAAGTGAACATAATGTGCTGAAGCGACTCCGGCATCTCCTTATCACATTCGCACATGGCGGAGGTTTGGCCCTTTGAGAATCTATGTCTCAGGACATTGGAGGGAAAAACATTAAACCTCGCTTTGGTGAAGGCCAGCCTATGGGCAACAGTCGAAAGGGAGGAGAGGTAAGGAAGGGAAAGGAGAATGTTAGCTGCTTTGAGACTCCTTCGGGTAGTGATAAAGCGGGATATCAAATCCAAACTCCTCCTCCTCCTCCTCTTCTGTTAATTCTCCTCAACCTCTCAGTGGCTTTTGATACAGTGGTACCTCGGGTTAAGTACTTAATTTGTTCCCGAGGTCCGTTCTTAACCTGAAACTGTTCTTAACCTGAAGCACCACTTTAGCTAATGGGGCCTCCTGCTGCTGCCGTGCTGCTGGAGCACGATTTCTGTTCTTATCCTGAAGCAAAGTTCTTAACCTGAAGCACTATTTCTGGGTTGGCGGAGTGTGTAACCTGAAGCGTATGTAACCTGAAGCATATGTAACCCGAGGTACCACTGTACCATCGACCATGGCATCCTTCTTGAGCGGGTGTCCGAGTTAGAGGTGGGTGGCTTTGAGGTGGTTGCTGTCCTGCCTGGATGGTCCAGGGAGTGTTGCTTGGGGAGTGTTCTTCAGCCCTGTGGAGCCTTCAATTTGGGGTTCCTCGGGGTTTGATTTTATCCCCTATGCTGTCTGACATCTGCATGAAATGACTGGGTGGGTTTATCCAAAGTTTTGGAGTACACTGTCGGCAATTTGCTGATGACCCACAGCTCTGCTTCCCCTTTACATCTGTGGGTGAGGCAGTGGATGTGCTGGACTGCCTCAGTAATGGACTGGATGAGAGCCAACAAAGACTTGGGCACTGTTAATGGGTGGTTCCCTAGACCAGATGGTTGGGAGGCTGCCTGATCTTGATGGGATTACACTCCCTCTGGAGGAGCGGGTACATAGTTTGGGGGTACTTCTGGGTCTGCTGCTTTTGGAAAAGCCCCCACTCCATTACAAAGCAGGACTTTGGAAAGTAATGTGCAAGTAGCTTCTTGGTGACATGGATGATGATGTTGGACTTCACCACCCATCAGCCTGAAATATACTCGGAGTCCTGTAGTGATTTATTTCTTTATTGCAGCTTGTAAAACAGTGATTGAATTGCCGCCCAAACCTCAGGCTTTTATATACATTATTTACACAATGAGTCCCGTTTGATTGGCTGATTCTGCTTCCCTCCTGGATTGGTCTTTTCCTGCAGATAAGTCAGTTATTGCATTCTACGATCCTATCAGCCTAATAGGCTGATTAACTTTCTCCTGGAGCCTAATTGGTCTTTTCCTGCAAGCCAATCAGTTGTTGCATTCTAGGATCCTACTTGCCTATTGTTCTAGGATCCAAGCTTAGTACATAACACAGCCCCATGCAGCATGGCCCAAATCAGGGATTATGGAAATTGTAGTCCAACAAATTCTTGAATGCCACAGGTTCCCTGTCCCTGACATAGATTCTTTCCTGATCTCAGGGCATCAGCCATGGAAGTTCTTCATTCTTATAGGCATCAGGCTCATTGGAAACAAGTGGAAGTAACTTTTACAAATTTATGAATTCAGCTTTTCTAAATTGCCGTTCGGCAGCCGTGGAATTCATTCTGCTGAAATGCTTATCTATAATTCAGCACTCTCCAATTGCTGGATAAAATTTGGAAGCATATTCAATCAGATGGCACAGTTTAACATTTTGAGGCTGGATGAATATTTTAATATGATTGATCACTACCCGGTAGTTTCTTGGCAACAACCATGAGCTGATTACTTCCCCCATTCCTCGCCCCCATGTGATCAGTTCCTTTTAATAAGGAACTACCACCGACTTGGAGGACTTGTGTTTCTTGGTGGGATACAACAAACAAGCTCAGCCAGTGGAAACCTGTGCAAGCACTTCCACTAACACAATGCCCCCTGTCTCTCTTCCCTCCATGCCCCCTGCATCTCTCAAATAGGCTTCGGGAGGGGGGCAGACGATCCCCTGAGCAGTATGCAGGAGGAAGAAAGGTCAGGTCATTCCACCAGCCAAGCAGAAGTGCTTCCAGTGATAGAGCAGTCTGCTAGCACTATGCTGAATTCCTCTCTCTGGTTGCAAAGACCAGGCTGAGAGATAAGCAAACAGCATAATATAGTAGTAGCCCCCCAGATATTGTTGGACTACAGCTCCCATCATGCCTGACCATTGGCCATGCTGGATGGGAGTCGTAACCCAAGAACATCCCAGGCTTCTTCAGTGGCCTGCCTCCTCTCTGCTTCTCTGCCCCACCTCAATTCAGCTTCTGATTCTGCCTCTGATTCTGGACTGCTCTCCCAGCCTCTTCCTGCTCACTAGACCCTGTTGCATCTTCGGCTTCTGACTCCTTCTCCTCCCAGTCTGCTCCCTCTTCTCCCTCATCACCGTCCCACCACCAGTTCCCTGGCTCTGAGACTTCTTCCCTTAGGGGTTCCCCTGCTGGTGCCTCCCACCACTCCTTAGCATCCAGCCAGTCCATGACACTGGGTCACCCAATCCAGGCCAAGGCCACAGTGTAAGGGGACAGGAGACGTAACACTTGGCCTGCCCTGGCACCGATCTGAATCTCCACTGGTAGCTGTTACTTACTAGGGCTATGTACTGGATATGGCTGGTTCTCAGATTCTGAACTGGAGTGGGCTGATTTGGGGCAACCCAGGATTCATCCAGATTGGGTTGAGGCAGTCCAAGATTGGCCTAGGCCACGTAAGGTTCGCCTGGAGTGATTGGGGAATGTCAAAAGAGCTGGGGGTGATTGTGATGAGGAGAGGAAGAAGGAGATTTGCAGGCAACCGGTGTGTTTCTTTTCTCTCCCTGCAACTGCATGTTTCACCGTGTTTAAGTAGTCCAGGGGGGAGAAGAAAACATTTGTCTCCTTCTCCCCATCCCTCTACCACATGACTGCCCAAGGCCCCCAAATTGGGTTGAGACTCAGATCTGCATACTCTAAGCTCCAGATAGTCTTGGGTCAGATCAGGGCCATTCTGTAGCATTGGAACTGTTATTTATTCCGAGAAGAAAACTGGTACTGGCGCTTGGGGTGGGTGGGTATTTTGATGCAAACTTGAGGAATCATTAGGAACATTACAGGGATGATGAAGAAGAAGAGTTTGGATTTGATATCCCGCCTTTCACTCCCCTTCAGGAGTCTCAAAGCGGCTAACAATCTCCTTTCCTTCCTCCCCCACAACAAACACTCTGTGAGGTGAGTGAGGCTGAAAGACTTCAGAGAAGTGTGACTAGCCCAAGGTCACCCAGCAGTTGCAGGTGGAGGAGCGGGGAAGCGAACCCGGTTCCCCAGATTACGAGTCCACCGCTCTGAACCACTACACCACACTGTGATGGATCTTTCTCTGACTCTTCAAAGACCTTGGCTACCTGCAGGTTTTTGTATTGGGAAAGAGAAACACATTGGGCCAGACACATAATCCACTTTCTCTCCCCCTCTCCCCCTCTTTTTTAACAGCTAACCAGAAGGTGTTTATTGCTAATGTCAGGGTGTATAATGTAGCTGTTTTATGTTTCTAAGAGCATTCAGCCATGTGGGTATCTGCCATGCCACATGGGCTGTGCTTTCGCTGAATAAACTGCTTAATGAGGCCAATTACAGGGATGGAGGCACTGGGAATTACAAGGAATGGTAAACAAGACAAGGGACAAGGGACAAATTTGATTTTGTTTGAATTCTAATAAGGAACCACCTAATTCTCACTTCTCAAGCCAATATGTGAACCAAAACAATTCTATCTTTTGAAATTCGTCCTTCTCCAAATTTTGCGATGCAGTTCTCCAGCCAAACAAAAATGTACATATTAGGGGAAAGTGTGCATAACATGCACATATTAGTGAAAATGACTTTTAAAACGCATAATAGTGAAAAATGATAGCAATCATGTGTATAGTAATCAAAATTGCATACAAAATGTAGTTTATTGGCAGAAATTTGCACTAAAATGTTAACACATTTATATGAGGTGTTTGGTTTCTTTTTTTTTTTTTAATTGCTGCAGGAATGTGAAGAATTGAATTTATGTTTGAGAAACTGAGAAACCCAAACTAATGGATCTATACATCCTTAAACAAATTTGTCCATCCTTAAACAAGACACACCACCTCCAGCCCAGGGAAAACACCGACTTGGTTTTTTTCTTCTCGTTGCCATGTACATATGGAATATTTTCATTAAAATGGTTCAGATTTTGGTTGTGATTTGAATTTTAAGATTATCTGTGGAAGGAAAAATATACTTTCCTACCTGTGAACTTCTCCTCTTGAGGAGAATTAAATGAAGTAGACTTTTGTTAAGTTGGATTCTCTGCTGCAAGTTTTCCAATTGTATTTGCTACCTCCATTTTTATTTATTTTTGAGACTTGGCCCATCAGGGTGGGGAACCGTTGGCCTTCCTGATGTTTCTGAACTTCAGTCAGAACATCAAAACCCAGACAGCATCCAAAATGAAACAGAAAACAAAAAAGAACATTTCTCAAGATGCTGAGAATAAAATCCTTTCTCTCTCTCTCTCTCTCCTCCGCCTGGCATCTTGAGGTATGTTGATGGGAGTTGGAGCCCAACAACATTGACAGAAGTTGTCACCATGTCTAAAACCATGGGAAGCCAATGCTGGTCATTGTAGATAACACTTAACTAGATGGGCTGATGGTTTGACTCAATGTAAGGCGCCTTCTTTTGTCCCTGCACATTTGATGCTTTCAACGGTGGGTAATTTTTTCTCTTCTTCCTCCCCAGAGCTCTCCCCGCCATGATGCAGTGGGTCCAGACTCAGACACCGGGCGAAAGTGGTGTCAACATTGTCACTGCGGACTTTGTAGAACTTGGCGATTTTATCAGCACGATCATAAAACTGAACTACATCTTGGCTGAAGGCGAAGCTGATACGACTTGATAGTACCGTAATGTGTCCGACATGCTCTAAAGTGGAACTTATCTCTCTTAGTTGTGTTAGGTTGTAATCTTGTGGCACAGATTTTGCAAGCACATGCTGAATATTATTCTTTTCTTTTGGACATGCTGAGGACTTAGAAAGGATGAGGGGGGGAGAGAAAGAAAATGGGTTGCTGTTTTTCTACTTGGTCTGATCATTTCTTGACATTGATTAGCTTGTGTCTCATGAAACCCAACCAGGTTTCATTTACACAGTTACCTTATTCAAGAAAGCCATTCATAAATATTTCTCCAACAACCACATGTGGTTTTGGCCACATTGAGGATCATTCGCTATGCTTAACTTGTAACTGGCGTTCATGAATTGCCCTTTGTCCGTGCAGTAGATTCTCATTGTCTTTAGTAATTCTGCTGCTGAACAAGAACATTGTATAGTCTTATCCAGGTGCTCCATATATATATATAAATGTTTCAGAAATTGGTGGCATCAGGTTTGTTGAACTCAGGTGGGAGGGAAGGATATGGCATCGTAAAGAAAAGACCAGTCAAAAGTTAACAGTTGCAGTTACAATGCCTAATAACTTGCAGATTTCCTGAAATTTTTAAACATTTCAAATATATGTTGCTATTGCTTTTAAAAGAAGTTCCCCATTGTGAGTCTAATTCTGTCTTCTCCTGTGAGGGGCAGAAGGCCTGTCATAGACTTATGCACAGAGTTTCATTATGCAGTTTTAGAGGGTGACTCTACATTACCATTTGGAACCATGGCTTCCTGAGAAGTCAATTAAAAAAAATCATTATATTGATTTGTCACTTTAGTTAGTTAGTTATAAAAAGCATTAACCGCCTTTGGGGAGTAGGAATGCAATGGAGCATCCAGGGAAAGGGCATGACTGGAATCTTGAATGGAAGCACTCCATGCTGCAGCGTTCTGTTGCAAGCCCCATTTGTTAAGCTAAAATAAGCTTTTCTTGTCTGAATCAATGATGAAAAGCTATTCCTTCTAAAGCAGGAGTTTCCAAAATGTGGTCCATGAGCTTCATTCAGGTAGTGTGCAGCATGTCTGTGGATTTGTGTTTCAAGATGGGAGAAGGCACACCTATCCCATTAAATAATGGTACTGAATTTTAATTGTGTTTTTGTTGCTTCTTTTATTCCTTATATTGGATTTTATTGTACTACAGTTTGCATTCTATGGAATTCAAATTATAGCACTGTAAGCTGCAATATAGAAGAAACAAAAGAAGTAATTAAAAAATACAATTAAAAGCTACAACAAGTAGCACCACACATTACAGTTGCTACAACAGGCAGAAAAAACAATAAGTGGTCCGCGAGGAGGGAGAGAACCACTGTTCTAGAGAAAGTTACAAAGGAAGACTGCCCCATGTTGTTCTTAAAGGAATATCCAAAATGTTTATATACTTGACCATGTGAGGAAGTACCTCACACATAAACATATCCTAGAATTCAGAGATATAGTTGGAAGATATGCAATCCTCCCCCCTCAGGCATTTTCCCTCATAGTACTCACAGGTATGAAGTACCAGTACTTCTTTTGTGGCCCATGGCAGCCAATTTGGGCTGGCACCTATGGTACTTTTATCAATATATACCAGCACCTCTTTTTTTAACCCCCCAAAAGAGAGAGCACATGATAAGTACCTCATAACATCATAAGACCTCATAACAGAACATGAAGAAGAGGTCTGATAATTTATTTGAATTTTCAGAGAAATCTGAGAAACAGCCTAGCTTAGTTGATCTACCAGCTGTTGCCCTGTCACGGGTCTTCTCAGTCTGTGGACACCATACGTAAATTCAGATCTTTCACAATCTTAGCCCCACTTCAACTATCTCTACTTTTTCACCTCTGGATCCCACATTACTCTATAATCTCATCCCTTTTCCTCTTTTAACTCTCCCCTCCCTTGCTTCACTATGACTGGAAAACCTTCAAGTCACTTCGATTGTCCCACTCAGTGGTGAAATGTTCGCTGTAATTCTAGACTCTCAGCTTAGTGGTTTTACAGGGAAGTTGTTTAGTGGGGTAAGACATATTATTCCACTTATTTCAAAATGTCAGCTGGGGATCCTACTGCTCATTCTGCTGAAGGGGACCCTAGATTTCTGCTCCAAAGTCCAGCCTTAACTGCACCTCCATTTCTGCTAGGACAACAGTAATGGGTGTGCAATATTCCCACATTCAGCAAATTGTGCTCCAGGGTAGCAAGATTCCAAGTTTCTTCCCTCCCTGAGGCTCCTTCTTTTAGTAATATCCCCAGATCTTGCTTCTATTCCCACCTGTCCAAACTCATTTGTGTGATGGATTATTGGGTCAGTGGCAAAGCACAGGTTTTGCATGCACAAGGTTCCAATTTTGGTCTCTGGCATCTCTGGCAAAAGCAGGCATGACCACAGGCTATGCTTCTTGGCACTGACAGGAGTCAGAGTCCAACAACATCTGCAGGGTCACAGGTTGCCCCAGTCCCAAGTTACGGGGATCAGAAGGGTTGGTAGAAATCTTTGCCTCAAACTCTGCAGAGCCTCTGTCGGTCCCATTACTGGGAAAGACAGTCCAATGGTGTGACAGTAGAGAGTATCCTAGTCCATATATGAATGGATAGTTGCCCAGGTTTCCCCTGTGCTCATGCACTCAAGCAAATATCAGTTGTGGAGCTGGTGGGAAAGCTGCCAAAGGGGAGTTTCCCCAAGTCCACCATGACTAGTCTTTTGAGGAACCCCTGATAAACTTCCAAGGAATCCCATGGTTCCCCAAATCATAGTCTGAGAAAACCTTGGCCTTAGATGAATGATGACAAGAAAGACTAGACACTGAACATCTATGGGCTAATACTGTCAAATGTTCAAAGATGGCTAATCATCCAACATTGTCTGCTGAGTGGAGCGTATGAAACATCTCACCAACATCTGACACCAATTTTTCATGGGAAGAAGTGATGGGGGGGGGGGGATCAGTTGTTGTTATTTAAAAAAAACTATTGGGAACAAACTTTCCAGAAGCAAGAATTATTCTGATCCAACACAGGAGCATAAGGAGCCTTCCGTAACAGTTGCTGACGCAGATATGCTACCAAACGTACAACTGGATGGATTTCTCCATCCACATTGTCATGCATATCCAACATCTACGTTGAGACATCATTGGATGCGAATTAGGAATCTGCACCCAGAATTATCAGGTGTTGAGTATAGCTAAAGCCAGGGATGTTTTTCAGCTGGAACTTGTCAGAATTCAGTTCCAGCACCTCTCAGGTTGGCGCCATTGCCATTGTAAGAGAACAAGGGAGGCTTCATGGTGAGTTCTAGCACCTCTTTTTCTAGAAAAGAGCACTGGCTAAAGCCAATATGTTTAGGGATGGGTATCTCTCTGTGTGGTTGTGGTTGTTTGGCCGAATCCCGTATTTCCATTTTAACACCCATTCAAATCCAGTGTGATTTTTTTTTTTTTTTTACTGGTTCAGTGGAATGTTAATAAATATTCCCTTCTGGTGTTGTAGGACAACAAAACACAGCTGCCTATTGTGCACCCGAGAAGAGGGCTTGGGGAACCTTTGGCCCTCCAGATGTTGCCAGACTCTGGCTCCCATCAGCCCCAGACATCCCATCAACCCAACGTCAGGGCTGACTGACTCCTGACAACATCAAGAGGACCACAGGTTCTCCATTTCTGCCTTAGGCTGTACACACATTACCAGCTGCCAGTCGTTCTTTTTCTCAATGTAGATTGAAGCTGGTTTGGGGGAGATTGCCTCAAAACACAGTATGTTGTTAGAAATGACAAGGTAGATAAAGATCATGTGTATACCGCTTCCCCAACCAGCAGTGGGAGCAGACTGAGTGCAGAGTAAAAGCAGGAGTGTGTACACAGCCTTAGAGCAAGCAATTCTGAAGATGGATTGTCAGTCTGCTTTACAGAACAGCTTCAGTGTACTTTATTTCAAATAGGACACCTGGAGGGACAAGCCCAGCTGCCTGAACGCTGTCCTTTGTGTGGACCGTAAGAGCTCAGCCAATAACTAGTCTAGCTTCTTTTACAGTGAAGCAAAAGCTAATTGTGTATTATACAATATGTGTGGCATAACTCTGCAGTAGCTTCTGTGTTTACATTGTTCTGAACTGTTCCCGTTTACCTGCCGACAAAAAAAGAAAGAAAGATCAAATGCGCTGTATACTCTGTAAAATGTATTGATTACCAATTTGTTAAGAGTTCAGTGATTCCTTCTTCCCCCAGCTCATAATTTTGAAATTGTGCCAGTGTTCCTGTAAGTTTTCATGTTTGTGTTTGTGTGTATGTATGTGTTCAGGGGTGTGGGGTGTGTACTACGTTGTACAATATATGAGAATTAGCAACTTCAGCCTCAATGGAAAGGGTAGTTGTGTTATCTTCCTTAACGCTACAAATGTTCCAGCTTGTGAAATCTTGAAGTTTCATGTGTGCTTGAGGATTAATGTATTTGGGCTGAGATCCAGAGAGCTCTTTAACAGAAAGACTTCTTTAAAAACCACCGAGTGCATGGATCTCTTGAAGCTCCCTAGATCTCACTCCTAGGGTTCGGTTGCTTTCCTTCTTAGTACGCAAGTTTTAATTGTAAAGATTTAAGAAAAATGAATGTTTGCTTTTTTTAAAAAAAAATCAAAACAATGTCAAATATACAACCACAAATCTTACAATGGAATGAATTTGCAAGGATTGATTTGCAGGTTTCATGATAATTAAATTTGAAATTCAGCATAATCTGTGTTTCACTGCCAGGTTTCAAACGTGGGAAGGAGAGAGGGAGGGCAGGTTTTGTGACACTGAAACCAAAGTCAGATACCAAAAATTCTAGTTTTATTCCTGACACTTGGGATATAATATTTTAAAACAAACATAAATACATGCCTACACTATGCTAGGTTTGTTTTTCAATGTTCTGAATATTATAGCTATTATAGATAGGGGGGGATTTGTCAAATTTCAAATGGAATGGAAAAAATTACTTCCACTCTAATTTATACAGCCAAGTCACACAACCTCTTTAAATAATTCAGATGGTGCATTTGTCACAAACAATGAAGGGAATCACCAAACAAAAAAGGAAGCAGTTTTCATTCTGACACATATCAAACACTGGTGTTCTGTCCTCATCATTGAACCCATGCCTCTCCTTCAGTGGGTGATAACCAACCAAGTCATATACAAAGTAGACCCATTTAAAATCAATAGACAACTTCATTGATTTCAGTGGGTTCACTCTAAGTAACACTGGGTATCCCACAGTATGCACTAACTTCTTTTTACCTAATTCAAGTACTGTATTTTTCGCCCTATAGGACGCACTTTTTCCCCTCCAAAAATGAAGGGGAAATGTGGGTGCATCCTATGGGGTGAATACAGGCTTTCGCTGAAGCCTGGAGAGCGAGAGGCTCTCGCTCTCCAGGCTTCAGGAAGCTCTGCGCAACCCTCCGGAGCCCGGCGCCAAGCCGCGCCGGGCTCCGGACGGTCGCGCAGAGCTGCCTGCCCTCCCGGGGTCCGCGCAGCTCTGCGTGACCTTCCGGAGCCCAGCGCCAAGCTGCGCCGGGCTCCGGAGGGTTGCGCAGAGCTGCCTGCATTAGGAAGCCTCAGCGCGCCCGGGCTTCGCACAGCTGTCCGCAAGCCTGGGTGGACTGGTGCGGCTCCCTAGGCTTGCGGATAGCAGGCTCTTCTGGGGGCTGGGGTCGGGGGAAGCTCGGGCTTCCCCCGCGCCAGCCCTGTGCCTGGGGGAAAAATCATTTTTTTCCCTTTATTCCCCCCCCCCAAAAAAACTAGGTGCGTCCTATAGGGCGGTGCGTCCTATGGGGCAAAAAATACGGTACTCTAGCAACATTTTAGTGCCAACTGCCCCCCACCCAACGTTATCAAGTCTGGAATGGGTGGGAGTGGAAGTCAGTTGGCCAGCCATTTCACTGAAGTTCTGAGCAGAAGTGAAAACTGAGTCTGGTGTTTCTTTCACAGGGAGAAAAATTGATTCAGGCTATAATCCTAAATTCACTTACTCAACACAGTGGGACTTGCGTCTCTATCAACATCCACTTCTAAGTAGACATGACTAAGGATAAGATTACAATCCTGTGCATATTCACATGGGAGAAGACTCTGAGATTTACTTCTGAGCATAGGCTTGTAGTACACCTTCTATCTTTTGAAAACCCACTTCTCGAATTAGGAGTCAATATAGTCCTGCTACCAAAATTCAACTGAAGATAATGCCATTCTTATTTGCAAATCATCATCATCATCATCATCATCATCTTTATTTATTGCCCACACTTCACCCTAAGGTCCCAGAGTGGGTTACAACAATTAGAATACAACATTAAAAACAATCAAAAACACCTTACAACCACAGAAACAAGATGAGTCCTATTGTGAAAGCGTTCACTGAGGCCAATTCAAATTTCGGTAGGTGGCAGCAGTTGTCACAAGGTAAGTACTTTGTGTGGGGCTGCGCATGAGTGCCAGGCAATCGTCTCTCTAGCTATTAGAAACATATGAAAATAAAGGGATGCCCTAAGCATGGAATTCACCACCACCACAATGGCTGACCACAACTGTAAGCTGCAGATTGAAGCCCCATTCCCGCACCTAGTCAGGTACCCTTGCTTTCAGTGACCTTAAGGAAGTCTTACTTCACGCAGGGTGGTGGCTTGGTCCTTAAATGGGTCTGCTTCATAAGCAGGAAATTATGTGGCGCTGCCATGCTTTTGATGATAGAATCATAGAATTGTAGAGTTGGAAGGGACCACAAGGGTCATCTAGTGCAACCCTCTGCCCAATGTGGGGTTTGAAACCACAACCTTGAGATTAAGAGTCTCATGCTCTACTGACTGAGCTGCTGTTTCCAAAGCAGGACTTTTCTATGGTTGGATTCCAACTCTCGCCAGTCTCAGCCAGCATAGCTGATGCTTGAAAATGATGGGACTATTACAGGCAGAAATACCTGCTAAACCACCATTCATTGCCATTAAGAACATTGGTCCTGGCCAAGTTAAAGACATGTTGTATGTACAAGAACTTTGGGAGTAAGTCCTATTGAGATTTGCTTCCAACTGAATGTATTAGGCCAAGTGCTGCATTGAAAGTGGTGAGACATGTCAGTTGCACATCTTGTGACTGGCTTATTGCATTCAATGGGGTGCATCTGCAATGAACTGTAGCTGGGTTGGGGTTATAATGATTGACACCATCATCAGTTTATTGCAGTCAACAGACCAGGAATAAACTATACATTGCACCATGCAGAACTAATTATTGTCAACAAGAAAATCCAAATGGAATTTTTTTTCCTGACAGGACAGCATTAATCCCTAAACCCCTTAGTTTCCTTCTTTCTCCAAGAAAACACATGCTCAAAGCATCAGAGTGACTGGATTTTATTTGGATGAGAATTGTGGATGTGTTAAGTTGGCTCAAATTGCAAATGCGTACCAAAGGTTCACACGGCTGCACCTGATTTTCTCTTTCTTTTAGAATCTGGGTGCTTTAGTAAACGTTGCATTTCTTAAAAACAAAAACAAAAAAACGCGCCTACAGTTCTGTATAGCAAATGTGGATTTTTATTAAAAGAATGTGTATTTAATGTAAAGACAACGGCGACAACCGAGTTTATTTGTATTCAGTGAAATGTTAATAAAGCCCTGGTACCCATCAGATGGCTTTCGGTGGTTTCTTCAGTTCTTAAACATGGCAAAGTCCATATTAATATACGATACACTTCACTTTACCCTGTTTAGACATTCTTTCAGGAGAAACAGCCTGTTCTACAGTCGAAAAGCCACTGGGATGTTTCTCTTAATGTTAACTTGATGTTTTTACTTCATCTGCAATTTCCACCTGTTCAATCTAGCCCTCCCTTCTGGAGCAATATGTTTGCGCCATATTCTACATGGCAGCCCCTCAGATATTGGAAGGCACCTCTCATGTGTGTCCCTAATCTTCTCTGTGCCAGGCCAAATGTTTTAATGAGTCCTCTTACTGACTGAGATCTTCCAGCTCTGTTTGAAAGGTAAGTCTACACCAGGTGATCTGCTCTGTATTTGTATTGTTTTCTTTCTTTCTTTTTTACTACCCAGACTGCTGCTCCAGAATTCCAAGAACCCCTGAAAACTGAGGATTTTGAAAGGTTCTGTCCACCATTTTGATTCAAAATGGTGTCCAACTGTTTGCAAGCAATGATTTCCTGTCAAATTTGGTTATGGGGGGTCCAAATGTCTAGCAAACAGATAAACAAAACAAACAAGTTTCCAAAATGCAGTTAAAGGTTTTGTATGCTGCATATATCTATCGTGCCTTTTGCTCTGGGTGTTTAAGGTCCTTTACCTTTGAAAATACTAATGCACCAAAGTCTTTCATATGCCTCTTGCAGACTGCATGCCATGGTTTCTGTTAAGTTGTGGGTGAACATATCAAACAGCTCTTGTTTATTCACAAGCCAGAACAGAACTGAACTGAAATGAAGGGTTCAGCCAGCCTTTTTATATAGAGCTTCACTACAATGCAACTGTAACAACTTTCTGTAACTATCCAATCACTGAACGTCACTTTCAATCCCTTATTTGCATATGTGGACCTGAGTGAAAACTATCTACAGTATCCCCCTGCTAGCCCAGGGTGAGAACTTCAGTACATAACAGTTTCCTCATTTTCTGTCCCCATACTTCCCAACTGACCCCCGTAATCATGAGGACTACAATCCGATGTACACGCAAAATGTGCAAAAGTGATGCTAATTTGCACACACAGGCCGCATGCTCTGCAGAGAACTCACGGAGCCTCGTCTGTCGTACTTTCCACTTTTTAATCTAGGTTGCCATTTTTGTCCGAGCAAATGGAAAACGTAGCAAGCATTTAGCACGAAGACTATCTGAAAGCAAGAGGAAAACCACTTCAGTAGAACTGGAGCACAAGAACAATTGTGTGCTCTCCTTCGCAATGCACATCTACAGAAACACACACACACAGAGAGAGAGAGAGAGAGAGAGAGAGAGAGCGTTTTATAGGTCATTGCACAAAATGTAATTGAATTGTTTCCATCGCTTGCTTTTGTCGAAGTGATGGGTCTCACTCCCTGTTTGTGCTCTCGAGTTCATGGTTTCAGGCTGCGCTTTAAGAACGGCTCTGTTATGAATTACGAGATGTGGCAATTTGCTGGTGGCATTGATTCAAGCAATCTCAATGCAAATTAGCTCTGGTGGCAAAAGGTGAAGGCGAACTAATAAAGCGGCCTGGCTGCCCACTTCTTATCGCACGGAGGCTGGTGGTGCTGCATACAGATGAGGCCGCCGAACGTCGATAACAATGTTCTGCTGTGACTAAATTAATTAAAACCTGGTTTTATAGCTTTCTCCCGGGATTAGGGAGGAAATTGATCATTGTTCAAATTCATAAATTTCCAAACAGCTCAGCGAAATAATATTTAAGCATTTAATCTTCCGGCTGTGGTGCTTTGGCATTTCTTAGCCATGTACAAAACCGGGCACTGCAAGGTGGTGCAGAAGCGTGGCTTCCTGTGGCCATCTTCAAAACTCTTGAGGGGCTGCCTTGCAGGAGATGGAACTAGCTTCAGGGAGCAACAGTGAGGGGCAGTGTGGTGGGGCAGAGCTGTCTTCCTGTCACCGCCACTGCTGCAATTATTATCGCTGTTGTTGGTTTCCTAATCATGCTCTGTTGTGAACTGTCAGGACAATGGGGATGAAAAAGAGGATCCTGAATGTGTGATATATTTCAATCTACAGAAGCTACTGAATCTCCTGGTATGCCCCGCGGAGGACCTTAAGGTCCATAAATAGCAACACCCTAGAGGTCCCGGGCCTTAAGGAAGTTGATTAGCCTCAACCAGAGTCAGGGCCTTTTCAACATTGGCTCCGGCCTGTTGGAACACTCTGCCTCATGAGACCAGGGCCCTGCAGGATCTGATTTCTTTCCACAGGGCCTGTAAGACAGAGTTGTTCCACCTGGCCTTTGGCTTGGAATCAATTTGATTCTCTCTCCCCTCTTTCTTTCTTTTTTCTTGAGAGCCAGTGTGGTGTAGTGGTTAAGAGCGATAGTCTCATAATCTGGGGAACCGGGTTCGCGTCTCCGCTCCTCCACATGCAGCTGCTGGGTGACCTTGGGCCAGTCACACTTCTCTGAAGTCCCTTAGCCTCACTTACCTCACAGAGTGTTTGTTGTGGGGGAGGAAGGGAAAGGAGAATGTTAGCCGCTTTGAGACTCCTTAAAGGGAGTGAAAGGTGGGATATCAAATCCAAACTCTTCTTCTTCTTCTTTTTTTCCTTCCTCCTCCTGTGATGAGGCTGCATTTTTTAATGTTGTTTTTTAATCTTGTTTTTAAGTTGTATTTCAATCAACTTGTTTTTATTATTGGTTGTTAGCCACCCTGAGCCTGGTCTTAGCTGGGGAGGGCAGGGTATAAATAAAATTATTATTATTATTATTAATTGCATCTAAAATGGATTTGGGGTCAATTTTTGCATCTCTGCTGTTGAAGAGCGTGCCTGGGGAGAATTGCTTTCCACTAAACCCATAATGCAGTGTAAATACAAGATAATATGAACACATATGAATGTTGTGCTCCTACAGTGGTGCCCTGGTGGCAGGACACAAAAACCGCTCGACTCTGCTTTGGTGTGTTGTGGCTCACATGTTTGTTTCAAGCAATTTTGATTAAGGAATATAAAACCATTTCCATTGATGAAAGAGTTCTTCAGAATGCACTGGGGATGGTGCCAGTTTGTGTAACTGTTTCTGTGTTTCATACTGGCGGCAACAGAAGCAGAACCTCCCAGCGTTAAAGAGTTCTCATTTCAAAAGGTGGGAGAGAGATGGCAGTCAGTTGCTTTTTCCTCCTAATATGGCACAGTTGAGCTCAGCATTTCCCCTGCATGATGAGGCACGCTTGGCAACATCTGTGATAGCCTAGCAGAGTTGAAACAAAGGAGGAAAATGTGAAGGATCATGCCAGTCAGAACACCATGGACCAAAAATCTTAGAAATGGAAGGTGCTTTTCAACCCAGATATAATAATTAAAAATAAATAAATCATGGAACAAGGGAATAGTCTGAACTTGACCCTGAATGAAACATGTTCACCCAAGTCCTTTCCAGAGCAACTCTGTTTTGTGCAATTTTCATCCAGACATGTTGAAAATGCTTTGCTTGCCAGAAAACAACATGAAGACAACTATTGAGGTTTGCTTATACTGAAGAGGGAAATGGCAAAGTTATTCTAATCATGCAGTATGTGGGCATTTGTAGCCAAGTGTACACCTGCGCTCTCAGCCTATGATCTGCATAGCATTTTGATAAATTGGTGTGTTCAGCTCATACAGAAACAGAGGCGTATTGGGGTCCACAGTCTACAATTCTCCATGCCCTGCTTCGCTGCCTAACCAGATCATACCTACATCAGCCAATTTTTTGAGCTGAAAGAGAGAGAGAGCATAATATTTTTTTTAATAAAAATTGCAATCAAAATAGAGAGAAATGTCACAGGAGATGACAAGGAAGGCAGGCAACATTGCCAATTCCCACTTCTCACTATGGGGCTCAAGAATGTGAGAAGTTAATAGTCAAGACAGCTTAGGAAGAACTGTCACCCACAACTGCCTAAGAGCCTGCCATGTGGGGATCCTAACAAGGACGAGGCGACTCCAGCGGTGAAGAGAGAGAGGCAAGAGAGGAAAAGTGAAGGCGAGGATTGAGGTGTTTTTAATTGAGCACACAAACCGAAGAAGGGTCGGAGAAGAGAGCAGCGCGTGAGTTCAGAAATACAATAGCAGGCCAAATTCATTCCGGCCGGTGTTATTTTTCTGGAAAAAGAGGTGCCAGAACTCATCAT